TTAGACCTAGAGAGAAAGGAAACGGGAGCTTCTGGGTACAAAAAAGGAACAGGAAGTGATGGTTCCCAAATCCAAAGAAAGAGACAGAAAGGACTCCATATTCAGGAGGGGTAGAAAATGAGCGTCTGCAGCCAAGAGGGAACAGGAAATCCAGAGGATGAAGAAACGAAAAGGGCCCTGGCTGGTGTGGCTCAGTGGACTGAGCGCCAGCCTGCGAATCAAAGGGTCACCGGTTCGATTCCCAGTCAGGGCACAGGCCTGGGTTGCAGGCCAGGTCCCCAGTAGGGGATGCGCGAAATGCAACCACAGATTTATGTTTCTCTCCCTCTTTCTTCCTTCCTTCTTTCCCTTCTCTAAAACTAAATAAATACAATCTTTAAAACAAAAGAAAGAAACAAAAAGGGATGTAAAAAGCTCCAAAACGAAATGGAGCTATCTGGCACCAAAAGAAAAGGCAGTCCACACCGAGGCTGGGAAATGGGAAGGTGAACCAGGAGAATGAGAGGAGACCCTCAGAACACAGGAGGGAAACGGCAATGAGGACTCCTGGAAGAGCAAAAGGAAGGACAAGAGAGGAGAGGAGGCGGGGCAGAAGACAGCAGTAGCCAAAGGACAGGTCCGACGCCCCATCCTTCTTGCCTGTCCCAAGCTAAATCTCTGCACCGCCCCCCTGTGGATCTTTCCCCACCTGGGGTCTCGATCCACCCCTCCCCCCTTACTGGGCCACCAACCTGCCCACCTTGGGTCTCTGCCTCCCCCATTCTGTCTACCCTTCTGTGTGAGTCTCTTCCTATTTATTGGTCTCTGTCCCGCAGCCTGATTCTCTGTCTCTCCTTCTTTGGATTTCTGTTAGCTCCTCTAAGTCTCTGTCCCCTCCCTCTAGGTCCCTGTCCCCCCCCTCTAAATTTCTGTCCTCTCTCTCTGGGTCCCTGTCCCCTGTCTCAGACCCCTGTTCCCCTTTCTATGTCTGTTTTGGTCCCTACCTTGAGCTTGGACTGGATTTCCCTCGATTTCCTTCGGGCCAAGACCTGGATGTGACTAGAGACCTGGAGGGAGTGACAAAGAAGTAGATTCAGGCCAGAGTCACTTGCCTCTTGCGTTCCCGGCCCCTTGCCTCCCTCCAGGTGCCCCACGGAGCTGCTGGAACATGAGATATGACACACACCCAACATGCTCGCTGTCTCAGGAGAATGCACACAGACGTGACCACAAAGGCCACCTTTCCTCACTAACACTTCTGATCGTCCCCAGCCCTGGCAAATCCAGGTCTCCTTTTCCTTCCCCACCCTTCTCTCTTCGGCTCCTTTGGGCTCTCTTACTCTGGTTCTAACGCAACTGCTATGAGAACTAAACCAAACAGGCACAGAGTGTACTCACAGGGAAGCCAAGAAGACAGACAAAATTTGCACATGAACCAGATCCTCCTCGAACCTGAACCTGCCCATACTAGTATGGCCCTGAGAAGACAAGCCTGTCCCAGACAGAAGCCCACAAGTCAGTCCTGAGACCTGTTTGCGAGTTCGGGTCTTCCCCGTTCTCAGCTTGATGTAGCGGGCAATCAGTTCGTTCCGACCTGAAGAGTCAAAGATGGAACAAAGTTAGACCTTCAGCAGAACTTCCCAACAGAGAGGACATCAGGAAAAAAGAGAGAGAAGCAACCGTTCCCAGAGGTCCACAGCAAGCTGGGAGCTCGATGGAGGCAGAGTTATGACTGCAGGGTTGGGAGTCAGACCGCCGGGGTTCAAATCCCAGCTCCACCACACACTAGCCTTGTGTGGCCTTAGGCAAATCACTTAGGTTTCCTGGGCCTAGGTCTCCTCACCTGTGCAAGTAAGACACTCACTCCTACCTGAGTCATCATGAGGATATGAAGTGCTTTAATGTGAACAGTGTTGAAAGCTCCACAAATGTTCATTATTCTCTTTTCTTAACGAACAGACGCCAGGGCAAAAGAGAGGGGTGGACTCACCATACATCTTGCCTTCGTCAGACAGGATGATTTTCCGCCGGCCGCAGGGCGGGTAGATGGCCAGGGCCTCCTGGAAGCTCTGCTCGATGTCCGGACTCCAGACACCCTCCGCATCTGGGCCCCCATCTCCCCCAGCCCCCTCACTGCCACCGGTGCCCTCCTCACTTCCTTCCTCACTTCCTGTCCAGGCACTGCCATCGTCCAGGGGGGCCCCAGCCCGGGGTTCTCCCATCTGCGCCTGGAAGGACACAGAGCTCAGCAGGTTTCACTTGAGGCACCCAAAGGGACCTCGGGCTTGGAAGGCTGGGGGCCCAGACCCCTGGGTCTGAGGGAGGAGGGGTCCCGGGCAAGGGGGCTGGATTTCTGGAGAAGTGGAAAAGCCTAGAGTGAAGACTGTGCTCTGGATTCCCAGGGAAGCCGGGGTGGTGACGAAGTCTTGAGGACCCCAGAGCCATGCGTAGGGCCCATGAGGACCAATCACTTGGGTATGGGTTACTAGTTTCCAAAGACAGGCGTCCCGGCCTAGTTGCAGGAAAGGGGGGTATGGGTGAGCTCTTAGTCCCACCCCAAGAACAGGTGCTGGGATGTGAGCAGCAGCTGCTGGAAAAGAAGAAGGGGCACAGGCCCTAGTAAGGGCGAAGGGCAGATGCAGAGAGAGGGCAACCGAGACCTAGTGTGGGGGCAACAGAGACCCAGAGGGAGGGGGACAGAGGCTCAGAGGGAGTGAGGGACAGAGACCCGGACGGAAGAGGGACAGAGACTCAGGGCAGAAACTCAAGTGGACACCAGGAAAGACGCACAGAACCACAGGCTGGGGGGGGCTAGGGCGCCCTGCCATCAGGAGAGCCAGAACAAAGGGCCCAGGCATCCCCTCCCCCAGTTTCCCACAACCCCCATCAGGGGAGGGGCTGGCCGGCGAGGGCCCTCCCCTCAAGCCCTCGGCCCCGCCCCTTCCCTCCCACCCCCGGCGCCGTGGGCTCGGATCCAACTCAAGTTCCCAGTGACTTTCCGGAGGCCGGGAACAGGGGAAAACTTTTTCCAATACAGTCAGATCCCGCCTCCCTGGCGGCTCCACGTCTTCCACAGCTTTCCCAGGACTCCAGAGTCCATGCTCCCATCCCCCTCCTCCCTCGGACCCTGGCGTCCCGGCCGAGACAAAGACCCCAGGCCGAGCCCAATGGCGCTGCGGCGTTCAGGACCCCCGTAGGCCAAAATCGCAGCCCAGCTCTCCCCCATGTGGCCAGACAAAGGGACAGAGGAGCTGGCTAAGAAAGATCCCCCTAATTTCCCTCCCCAGGCCCCAAACCTCCGAAGAGACAAGACGGGAGATCCAGAAAGCTCTGTAGCCCTCCCTCTGCCACCCCGGAGGCCCCTTTCTCCCTGAGGAGGACCGGGCGCCCACAAATGACACACACACAAGTCGGCTCGGTCAGAAACACGCAGAGTCCTTTCTCACTTCAAACCGACACCGCCGCAGATACTCACATCGCACAAACCCAACAAAGTTCCCTGTCCTCACCCACTCCCAGGCGCACACTCCCAAACTCAGACGCATCCGCAGACCCCCCAACTCCGGCGAAAGGTCCAACCCCGCACTTAGACTTGGTCAGGAGAGCAAACTCGAGCCCCCGAATAAAAAGAAGGAGGCATGCAATTCAGAGACGGTCCCACAAACCCCTAAACTCCTAATGCGTAACTTCCCACCCCAACTCACACACCGCAAAGCAGGATCCCCGGCTCCCGCCGGCACCTACCTACCTCCCGGCCTGGGGCTGGGGAGCCGCGGGCGGGCGGGGCGCTGCGAAGGAGAAAGTTGCCCGGGAGCTTTGTTTGGGAAAAGTGGGAGGGACCGGAGGGGGGGCGGGCCCGGACGCCGGACAGCGGGAAGGGGCATCCGATGGTGACAGTTTGGGGGAGGATTTTTGCTTTGGCAAAGGAAAGGTGACGTCTAGCTGGGGTCTGGGAGCAACTTCAGGGTTCTTACGATGATCCGGACTTCTGGGTCTGAGGGAGGAGGGGACTGGGGGCCTGGACTCTGGGCCCTCCGTATGTTTGTGTACTGGGGATGCGAAACAAGCACAAAAGGTTCTTTCCTGTTCAGTCTAAAGTATATTTTTGAGGATTGAAGTATGGGGGTGTGCTTTGATTGATTTCTGTAACAGCACGTTTTCCTCGTGACCTCACCGGAGTTAAGAGTCATGAGCAAGATGACCGGGAGTCAGTGGAGGTCCACGCAGATGGAGACTCCCACACCCACACTCACGAAAGGACTACAGGTGGCGCTGTCCCACGACAGAGAGAGATGCTCGCTGCCCGAGGGGAGAGGGGCTGAGTCTTCAATCTCGTGGGACTACAGGATGCTGGGGTCCGCACTCTGGGAACCTGGGGGAGAAGGGAGCGCGAGCTCCGGGATTCTTGGAAACTGGAACAGAAGACTGGATTTCGGGTTTCCGGAGAGGATGAGGCTGTTTAGTGGAACCGAAGAGGGCTCTGGGTTCAGCGTTCCTACATTGCCCTCTGTTGAGCGCATTAATCGATTCCGAGAAGCGACATGGAGACACCCTCAAAAATAGATACAAAACTAAGGAACGGATAAACCAGAAGGGCAGAGGGAGCCTAGGAATGGCACTGAGGGAGCAAGGGATGAGATCTGAAGCACAAGGAGGCGTGGCCCAGGTGCGGGGGCGTGGCTCTAGGGCAGGGGGCGTGGCCATCTGCGATTGGAGCCGACCAGGCAAGACTTGAGTCTTCAACGCCGAGGTCAAACGGCAGGGGCGGGGTTTAACGAAGGAGTGTGACCAGAACGAACGTGGAGCTGGCTCAAGGGGCGTGGTTAACGAAGAATAGAGGCGTGACTATCCAATAGAGGGCCCAGCTACTGGGTGAGGTCAGAGGTGGGGGCGTGACCAGACAGTAGGGGAGACGCTAGGGCTCGCGGAGCTCATTCAACGCTTCAGGTATCCCGGTTGGGCTCGAGATCCAGAACTGTTGGGATTTAACAGTCCGTAGACGGCCCGAGTTTGAGAGTCCGTGACCAGACTGCGGTCTAGTATAAAGAAGGGGCCCAGAAGACGGGGCGGGGGCGTAGGAGGTGAGAAATTAGATCTGGGTATGAATGTGGGGGAAGGAGAGGAATGAAATCCTTGTTTGAGGCAAAGCTCAGAAGACCCGGGTCCGGGGAAAACGCGCGGGCCCTGACACGATGGAGGGGGTGGGAATAGAAGGAAAGGGGAGACGATAATGGTTTTGGTGGGGAGCAGAGTTGCTTGTACAAGGAATAAAACCTGAGCAAGGGATGAAAGGCATGATCGTCTTGGGTGGGGGCTCTGACCCCTACAGCCTTCCCTGCAATGTGGCACGCGCTGGTCCTCCTGCTGCTGCTCTCCTCTGCCTCAGTGCCCCCCTCCACTGCAGCCCCGATCCGCGATGCTGACACCCAGGAGAGCTCCTCGGGTTTTCCAGGCCTTCAAAGACTAATCCAAGACTTCGTGGGGTTTTTTCTGAAAGTGAGCGATGGCAGGGGTTGGGGAGAAGAGGTTCCAAAGAACAGGGGTGGAGGCAGATGGAGACTGAGACATAGAAGGGGTTCAGGGAGACAATGGGAGACAGGTCGCAGCCAGGCAGGACAGACAGGAAGAGGAGTCAAAGGGACAGAGAGAGACAGGGAGACCGAGAGACAGAAAGAAGGAGGCAGGCAGGCAGAGAGGGAGATGGGACAGAGGCAAGAGGCTGAAGGGTAGGATAGGAGCAGAGAGACAGGAGGACGTGAGGCAGGTAATGGGGCAGAAAATAGAGACAGAACAGGTGGGGGATAAGGGCAGGAGGTGCCCTTAGTTAGGCTCTAAGGGTCAGAAGATGGAGAGGGAAGGGGGTGGAAGGGACACAGCAAGGCCTCAACGGCGTGCTGGCAGGGCTGCAGGTAGCACTGGGGAGTCCTGAGGTCCAGCAGCTCACCTGTCCCTCCTCTGGCCCCAGGATGACCTGCTACGGGGCATGGACAGCTTCTTCTCTGCCCCCGTGGACTTTCGGGGCCTCCCTAGGAGCTACCACCAAGAAGAGAACCAGGAGCGCCAGCTGGGGAACAACACTCTCTCTAGCCACCTCCAGATTGACAAGGTACTTATGCCAGGAAGTACCTCCTGGAATCTCTCTGGGATCACTTATGCTGCAGTATCTTCCTTGATGAGGGCAGAGGAGGAAAACAGTTCTGCTCTCACTCTTTCCTCCCATCTTCACAGGTGACCGACAACAAGACAGGAGCGGTGTTGATCTCCGAGAAGGTGATGGCATCCACTGAGCGAGGAGAGGAGAACTTGGAGAGCGACTCAAAGGTTAGGACATGCCCCCATCTCCCCACCCTACTTTTAATTCCAAAGTGCTTTATGAACCCTAAATGCTTGGAGTATCTCACCTTTGCAACCTTTGAGTGATTCTAACACCAAAGGACTTAATTTTATTAGCCTAAAACATTTTAAGAACCTCCAAGTGCTTGGCAAACCCATATGGTTCTCTCTCACAGAGGTTTTTATTTCAAAAATTACAAATCTACAGAAAAGTTGGGGAAAAGTAGTACAGTGAATATATCTGTATTCCTTTTACCATAGAGCAAGGTTTCTCAGCCGTGGCACCATTGTCATTTGGGGGCTGGATAATCTTCAGGGTTTGTTTTTAAAAAAAAAAAAAAAAAAAAAAAAAAAAAGATTCTATTCTTAGAGAGGGAGAAGAGAGGAAGGAAGAGAGGGAGAGAAATATCAATGTGCAAGAGATACATCAATTGGTTGCCTCTCGCGCACTCCCGACTGGGGGCCTGGCCTGCAACCCAGGCATGTGCCCTGACCAGGACTCAAACTGGTGACCTTTTGGTTCGCAGGCCGGCACTCAATTCACTGAGCCACACCAGCCAGGGCTGGTTAATCTTAGTTTTTATCCATGCACAGGACCATCCTGTGCGCTATCAAATGTTTAGCAGCAAGCCTGCCTCTACCCACTAGACAGAAGCATCACCCCACCCTCCACCAGTTTCCACCCTTTGGTTGAGAACTGCTGGCCTAGATTCACCCCTCGATAACATTTTACCACATTTACTTTATTTTCGCTTTTGCATTTTTGAACCGTATGAAAATAAGTTATTGACATCATGACACTTCACCCTTAAATCCTTCAGCAGATATCACCTAAGAATAATGCATTCTCCCACATGACCACAGTACCATTTTTAAACCCAAGACATTTCACGTCGATGTCAAACTGTTGCCTCTGTATTGGTTTTTGAGGGCTGCTGTCACACAGTACCACAGATTGGGTGGCTTAAGTAACAGAAATTTATTGTCTCACGGTTCTGGAGGTTAGGTGTCCAAGATCAAGGTTGGTTCCTTCTGAGGGCTGTGAGGGAGAGTCTCTTCCATGCCCCTCTCCTACCTTCTGATGCTTTGATGACAGTCTCTGGCGATCCTTGGTGTGTAGATGCATCAGCCCCCATCTCTGCTTCATCTTCATACAACATTCTCCCTGCCTGCACTTCTATGTCTAAATTTCCCCTTTGCATAAGGACACCAGCCATATTGGATTAGGACCCCATCAGAGCACATTCCGAGCTCCTAGGGGTATGGACTTCAACGTATAAATTGTGAGGGGGCACAATTCAACCGTAACAATCTCCTACAGGACTTCTCAGGCCTCAACTTATCAAAATGCAGACTGATTCAGTAGGCCTGGGTAGGTGGGATGGGGCCCACTAACGTGCATGTCTACAAGCTCCCAGATGATGCTGATAATGCCGGTCCACAGCTCACGCTTTGAGTAGCAAGAACCAAACAGAAATTCAGCCCATGTTCAAATGTCTCCGCTGGACCCAAAACTGCCTGTAAGAGCTAACTTGATTTTGGACCAGGATTCAATCAATGACCACAGGTTGCAGCTGCTTTTCTGGGCCTGGAGCTGAAATACAGCTGAGGCCTAGACGTCATCTCTGGTTTGACCAAAACCCTGTCTCTGTGGTCAACAGACCTGAGGCTTTGTTTTTAAGGTTATTTGATGGGGGCCAGAACTTCATTGTCCTGGGGGCTTAATGCTTAAGGGGAAGTGGTCATGCAAGGACTTGTATGGGAGTCTTATGAGGCTATTCTCCGCCCCTCTTATTTGTCCGGTAAGGGGGCTACCACCTGACTAGCAACATGCCAGGGAAGGAAAGGTCAGGGGGAGGTCTGAACTGCATGACCAGTGATACGCTAGGGAGGAAGGGTCACCCAGAGGGCAAAGTCCCACCCTACGGTACTTGTTTTCCCAGTTTTGCCCACTGCTAGGCACCCAGGGCTTTCCATCCCAGGTACCTTCTGTACCTGGCCTGTCGTTTCCACTTTGCTCATGCCTGTCCAGCTGCCTCCTACATCTTCCCCTCAAGGATTCTTGGTTCTGAACTCTTTTTTTTTTTTTTTTAAGATTTTATTTATTTATTTTTTAGATAGAAGGGAAGGGAGGGAGAAAGAGAAGGAGAAAACATCAATATGTGGTTGCTTCTCGCATGCCCCCTACTGGGGACCTGGCCCACAACCCAGGCATGTGCCCTGACTGGGAATCAAACTGGCGACCCTTTTGTTCACAGGCCAGTGCTCAATCCACTGAGCCACACCAGCCAGGGCTTGGCTCTGAATTCTTTAAGGGAAAGGGGCATAGGGTCTCCTCTGTAGCTGCTTCCTGCTGAAGAGGGGCAGATTTCCTTCAGAGCCAAATGATCCCTGCTCTCTGTCACAGGGACAATGAGGAGGTTGTGATAACGTCTCAAGTCAGCAAGGCGCAATATTCCCGGAGTACAAGCAGGGCTTGTAACCTGGTGGAGACAAATTGTGTTATAAATCTTAACATTATTGGGGCAAAAGCTAGAATGACAAAAACCACGATGAATGGTCTGAGGAAAGGGAGCATCCAGGCAAGGACACTGAGGAACGCCCCCACCCACCCACACACACAGGCTGGTTGGCCTAGATTTTGGATGTTGTTTGCCTTGTCGAAGGATGGGAGAAAAATGAAACATTAGTTTGGAGGATTGTAGCCAGTTATTTAAGCAAACGAGGAAAATTCAAGATCCAGTTGAGTTTATAGGTGAAAAAATAAAACTTGGAAGAAAATTAACTGGACTCTCGTATCTACAACAGTGTATTACAGATTTTTATTGAAACACAATTTCTGTCCATAAAATTAATCCTCATTTTTATCAAAGAGCCAAGTTAAGACCAATTTATTTACTGCATCAAGTCCAGTTTCAATTTGGCCTGAATATTTGCATACATACGATAAGAATAGTAATTGATCATATAGGCTCTTTTTTTTAATCTGCTCTGCTGGAATTTCATAAGGAACCTCCAGAATGAACTTTAATTAGCCTCTCAGAGCAAAGAAGCCAAGCCACATAATTCCCATCAGGCTTTGCCTACAATATGTGTAAGTTTGGGTGAATTCCTCAAGTATCCGAGGTCCCCCAAAATGTCTTGAGGTTCTTTGCCATCTCCCAGCAAAGCAACTTGCATTTCTTACCTGGAAAGACTGCCATGAACCATGTAAATAAGAAAGGTACCATGCTGTTTTTCTAAGGGACTCTTATCAGCTCCTAAAGTCAATCTTAATTCCTTAAAGCTTTTCTGACAACATCCAGAGACTAGGTATTTCCCTCTCAATCATGACATTCCAGTCAAAGTCTTGACTAATAAAATAAATTTAAAATTTAGAAAGATCACGTTACAATTGTGGTCATAATTCTTTAGTAATGTCAAAAGCTTTTAATGCCAAAGTGTGCACTTTAAACTGCTTTCCAAACCTCACAGTATATTTAATCCTAAAGTGTTCTGTAATCCCAACAGGCATTTTAAACCCTAAAGTGCTTTTGAACCCTGCAAAGTGTGTTTTTAATCCCAAAGTAGTCTATAAACCTCCAAATATTTTTTAAATTTTTTATCGATTTTATGTTTAATGGATTTTTAACAAGATTTTATTTATTTTTAGATAGAAGGGAAGGGAGGGAGAAAGAGGGAAACATTGATGTGTGATAGATCAACTGGTTGCCTTCCACGCGTCCCCTACTGGGGACCCAACCTGAAACCCAGGCATGTGCCCTAACCCAGAATCAAACCTGCGACCCTTTGGTTGGCAGGCCAGCACCCAATCCACTGAACAACACCAGCCAGGGCATAATTTTTATTTATCAATTTTAGAGAGAGAGGAAGGAAGAGGGGGAAAGAGAAAGAAACATCAATTTGTTGTTCCACTTATTTACGAAGTCCTTGGTTGATTCTTACATGTGCCCTGACCAGGAATCAAACCCACAGCTTTGGTGTATTGGGACAACTCTCTAACCAACTGAGCTACCAGTGCCCTCTGAGTATTTTTAATTCAAAAGTACTTGTAAACCCAAGTGCTTTGTAAACTGTAAAGTGAGTTTTTTATTCCCAAAACGTCCTGTAGGTGGCAGACTGAGTTAAATATGCCAGTGGGTTGTCATTTGACTTTGAGAGGATCTCCTCATCCCTCCTCCGCAGGTACCCAAGATAGAGGAGAAGGGGGCCCTGGTGCCCATCCCAAAGACCATGGACAGCTCCCACCTGGACCCTCACCCCCGAGTGGCCTTCTGGATTGTGAAGCTGACACAGCGAAGGTCCCACCAGGATGCCCCCAAGGGCGACCGCCCCCTCAATGAGAAGCAACACCGCCTGCAGGCCATCCGGGACCGCCTGCAGGCCATCCAGGAAGGGCTCCACGAAGGGACCCGAGAGGAGGTCCTTCAAGAAGGGACCCAGGGCTCCTCCTACTTCAAGCTGCCTGTGCGCAAGACGCGCTTCCTGTACATTCTCAAGCCCTCCCAGCAGCTATAGGGCTGGGGACAGAGGAACACCTGCATGTACCTCCCCCCACCAAACCCCACACCAAGCTCCATATGGAAATAAAGTTCTTGTATCTAACAGCACTATCCCCTATTAGGATGTGTCCCCAAGCCTCAGCCAATCAGACAATGGCTAGTCCCAACAATAAAAGGATAACTAAGCAGTCATAAGATATGTGGAAAAGAAGCACTACACCATAAAATGATGCTACATCAAAATAGTAAATATTTTTAAACTGAATAATAATGGAAATGTGACACAAACTTATGGAGTGTAGCTCAAGAAGTTCTCAGAAAAATGATGGCCTTAAAGGTACATATTAGGAAAGAGGCTAAATAATAATCTAAAAATATCACTGATCTAAGCACTTATCTCAGAAAGTTACACAAATTGAATTGGGCTATAGCTTAAGAATTAGCACTCTATGTATGTTACCACTATACTATAAAAAAATAATTTTTAGGTGTTACAGAATTACCCAGACCTCAAAAAAAAGGAAGAAACCAATTCTGAAATAATATAAACTGAAAGGATGAAATTATACTAATAAGGTTAAGGGGGTCTACCACGTGCTTGCCTGTGCTAATAAAACAGACTAATAAAACAATTGGCAAACATTCTTACTGAATTCTCATAAGACCCCATGAGATGGATATTATTTGTCCCCATTTTGGAGAAAAGGCTGACTTTCAGAGGGGTGAAGTCACTTGCCAAAGTCACACAGCAATGGCACTAGGTTACTCTGATTTTATATCTCTTTTAACCTTTTACCACATCACCTGACAAATAGGTTCTTTTCCAGGCCTTACAACCAGCCACCATCTAATAGCCAAAGTAACTATTAACAAGGACTACCACCTTAAGTCCTCAAGGTAACCTAAGAAGCAATTATGTCCATTTCTGGGGGAGAAACTGAGGCTCAGAGAGGGTAGCGATTGTGCCAAGGTCACAGCTAGGAAGTGATGGAGCCAAAATTCAAACCTAAAAATGTCTGACAACTCCAGGTCCACAAGCCTTATCGTCCTACACTGCCCAGCACTTAAGAGGCATGGACTCCATTCATTCAACTTTTTTTTTCCTTTTCTTTTTTTTTTTTTTTTTTTTGAATGCCCGTACTAGGCCAGTTTCCTATTCCGTATAGGTCTCATTCCAGTGGGGGTGACAGAACGGAAATACAGAATGTGTCACGTTTTAAAACGCGCCATGAGGACCACTAAAAAGTGGATAGTACGAGCTAGCGGAGAGGTTGAGTGGTTGGGACAGCTTTTGGATGTAATTCGCTTCCTAAAAGGAGTGAATGGACGAGTCTGGGGAAGAATCCTTCAGGGATCTATTAATATCTTGGGACTGGAGCCACAATAGAGCGCGGGAGTAGGGAGGAAGCAGTACAAAGCAGGACATTATTGTGGTGGTGACAGGCAGTCTGTCACGGAACGCAAGACAGAAAGGCCACGGCCTGGTAGGTGATAAGTGGGGATAAACAAGAAGGCTCTCAGTCCAACTCTCCCTCGCTTGCACTTTATTTCACCGAACCTTGGGGCGCCACAGGAGACACCAGCGTAAGAGACAGAGCCTCAGACGCCTTCCCCTACTAGCGGTAATCCCTTTAGCCTTCGCCTATTCTGCCAGTACGCATGCGCGCGCTCCACTGGGCTGGGCGCGCGCTCACGCTGCCGTACGCATGCGCAGCCTTGCCTTTGCAGGTAACCTGCCAGACTAGCGTGCGCCTTCTCCCGAAGTGCGCCTGCGTCGAGGGAGGAGCCCAGCCGGGGCGGGGCTTAGGAGCTGCGCGCGCTCTTTCGCCTGTCGCTCTTTTCGCTTTTCCCGCAGGTGTAGCGTTCGCTCACCTCCGCTCCGGACAACTGCCGTTCGTCCTTCGTGGCCCTCGCCTGTGTCCCGAGAGTGGGACGTGGCCCCAGGTGCGTCCTGGCTGTGGCAGTGTTCCCCAGAGTAGCCCTGTTCAAAGCCCCTCCGAAATCTTAGCAAAGCGTCCAAATCGTAGGAGAGAGTCCCCGATATCAGGGCGTTCCATATCCTGTTAAAAGTCTTGACCAAGTCCTCTGGGAAATAAAGGAAGGAAGCCACCAGAAAATTTTATAGATGACCCCTGAAATCTCGTCCGAATCTAATAGAAATTGTCAGACTTCTTTAGAGCCTCTCGGAGACTCCCGTGAAATCCCCTTCGTCTTTTAGGGAGTCTGTCAGAGACCCCCAGAAATGTTGTCAAGACCAATAAAAATCCTGTCAGAGTCCCCTCCCAAATATCAGAGAGCTTTGAAGTTCAGTCAGAAATCCAGTCAGAGATACCCCAGAAATCCAGAGACTCCCCAGAGTTCCAGTCAGAGACCCCCTTAAAATTCCCAGAATTCCTGCCTGAGTCGTCCTGCTGGACTCTCCCCGCCAAAGACCCCGAGACTGACCAGGGCCTCCCTCCATTTCTCACCATGAGTTTATCCCCCCAGCCCTGTCAGAAGCTCCCAGGGCCGGTCAGCACCCTCGAAGGCACCCTTCCTCACTCAGGATCCAAGGCCATTGTCCCCTTCTGCACCTGTTAGTGTCATCCAAACCCTGGAAAGTTCTCTCCTCATAGACCTTTTTTTCTAGGACGTTCTAAAAGCCACCAAGAAGTGTGCATGCCACAGCTGTGGCCCTCATCTGGTGCCAGGGAAAGCAGGGTGGGGGGAATACTTGGTGAGGGAAGGGGCACTAACAGGTGGGAGGAAGACAGACAGGCCCCAGGGACCCTGTATTGACCCTTTGCCCCAGTGAGCCGGGTCAGTGTGACGGGCACCGTTGTCCAGTGTAATTATTAATAGCGACCCTCCCAGTCTTGTAAGTGTCCCGGAGTTGGAACAAGAAGTAACATGATCGACCTTGTTATAATGGAGGCATGACAGAGCATTTTGGGGGCATAAAAGAGGGAGTCCCTCATTGTTCCAGGGACTCGGGAAGGCTCCCCAGGGGTCTGTGGGCGCGGGCAGGGGTCACAGGTGGGAATGATGCTGCAGTGTGGCCAAGGCCTGGGAGGGACATGGGAAGATGCTAAGCTCTCATGGTTGTGACGAGGGTAAAGGGCCTAGAGGTGGGCCAGTGGAGAAGAAAGTGACAAAAAGAGGCAAGGAGTTGCAGGGACCACTCTGCCACACCAGCCAGAGGGGCTAGGACTTAGTCCTGAGGGTACTAGGGAGTCATGGGAGGGCGGGGAGCAGGGGAGAGATGGGGTCAAACTCGAGTGGGGCGCCAAGAGTTCCACATACAGGCTGATATGGCAAGGATGTCAGTAGCCAGGTTGGTCCAGAACCCAGAGACAGCGCCTTCTTTAGAAATGTTTCCCGGAGCAGGGGACATGTGAGCCGAGATGGGAAGGGTTGGCAAGGAGGGTGCCCAGGCAAAACCCAGAGGTGGGAACAGCAAGCCCAGTTTGGGGAATAGCACTCAGAATAGCTGGAGCAGCACGTGTGATTTGGGGTAGGGAAATGGGCGGAGCCAGGCCATGCAGGGCCTTTGATGCCAAGACCAGAGTCTATGCTGGGTCCATAGGGTACTGGGGAGCCATGGAAGAATGTTGCACAGAGGAAGGGCAGTCTACCTATGGAGCCCTGTGAGGATGGACTGGAGTGGGAGGCTGGAGGCTGGGAGGCCAGGGAAGAGGCCGCAATGAGGGCCCACGGGGAGAGGACGAGGTCAGAACCTGGGCCATAGGGAAGGAGAGAGACACAGTAGAGTCAGTCAGTCATAGGGCAGGAAGGGCAGGGATGGGGACTTAAGCTCTGGGAACAGAGGCAATGATGAAAAGACAGTGACCTCACCCACTAGTCCCCGCTTTGATCTCTGCCTCCCATTCCTCAGGTCCCCCTTTTCCCAGCCCACACCTCCAATCCATAAAACAGGTCTGAGCAGGAACTGCTGTGATGGAGGCAGGGGTGGGCAAACAGGTTCTGAAAACCCAGAACTGCCTGGGGCACAGATGAGGCAGGGCAGGTCCCCACCCTCAGGTGGCTGGTCTGAAGAGGCCATTCCTCTGCTTGTCCTTCCAGGAGCTTTCAGAGTAGCCGGTCCCTTTTCAGTCCCTCCCAGTGATGGAGGGTGGCTATTAGCTTCGCCGGCAGCTGTGGAGCAACGAACGTGGCCCATGGACCTACCAGAGAGCCGGGCGGGTGGCCCCACTACAGAAAGTAGGTGGCTGGGCCCCTGTTTACCCCGTGGGAGGATAAGGAGGGAGCAGAAGGTGAACGGGAACCAAGCTGTGATTATGGACTTGGAAAAGGTGTCTTGAAGGCTCTGCCTTGGTACAGGGTGGGAAGGAGGGAGCCGGCCATGTGCCCACCTGCCTGGACCTCTTATCCCCTTCGCTCTGGGAGGCCAGAGTGGAAGCCTTTGCATGCACTGTGCCCCCTGCTCAGAGCACCTTTCCCAGTGGTTGCAGGCTCACCCCTCGCTTCATGCAGGTCTACTTTCTGTAAAGCAGCTGCCCTGTCACTCTCCTCCCTCCTGCGTTGCCTCTTTCCATAGCACTGACATCGGCTTGTCTGACTGCTCTCCGTCTCCCCCACGAGAGCATGAGCTCCACCAGGCAGGATCTGTTGTATTCACTCTGGTATTTCCAGTTCCTAGAGCACCATTGTCCAACAAGCGAGCCATATATGCAATTTTAAAATTGTGAGTAGCCACATTTAGAATAAATTTTAAGAAGAAACAGGCCAAGTGAATGACAATAATAGATGTTATTTAACCTCATACATCCACAATAGTATCGTATAATCAATAGAAAAATGGATTGAAGATATCTCTTTTTTTTTCGTACTGTCTTCAAGGTTTGGTGTGTGCTCTATACTAATAGGGCATCTCAGTTCACACTGGCCACAGTTCAAGTGCTTACAAACCACATGTGGTGAGGCACTACCCTAGAACAATGCCTGACACATAGTAGGAACTTGGTTACTGTCTTGAATTGGCTGAATGCAAACCAAATGCGTGTGAAAGCCCGCTTCGGGAGGAAGACTAGTTGCCCTCCCTGAAACTCATCTGCAAAGTGGGAGCCCCATGTGATGGGGAAGGTGGCTTCCACACTCAGGGAAAGGCAGGGTCCCTTTCTCAGAGGCCGCCAGCACCCAGCAGCAGCAGAGCCTGTGTCTTTTCTCGGGACCCCTTGCTTGGACTGTGGCCTCAGGAGGCCTTCCAGGTAGGAAGGTAGGAGGCAGACACCTAGGTGCTGGCATCCAAGGGCCTACTGACCGAGTGACCGACATCTAAACTTCGCAGACACCAGCAGAGGGCGTGCGGCCACCGAGGAACCCATGGGTGAGGGCTGAGCCAGCTTTGAGAGGCTCTTGAAGGAAAGGGAGGAGGGACACACCCAGGAGAGAAGGAGAGAGAGGAAGGCTGGGGTGGAAAGACAGGAGAGTAAGGAGAGAGAAAGCTCGGAGCACAGAGAGCCACAGAGATATGAGAAGAGAGGCACAGAGACACAGAGAAGAATATCAAGGCAAGGAACATGCAGACAGAGAAGCAGGACACAGTGGAGAGAAATGGGGAGGGAAATGGAGAGAAAGAGCCAGAGAGAACACTAGAGAGGGCAGGCACAGAGACTCAGAGGGAAATAGAGACTCTGAGGAAGGAAATGAAGGAAAAAGAACAGGAGAGAAGCCCAGTGACATCTTCCTGCAGTGCCCTGGGAACAGACTAGACAATTGTGGATCCCGGGACCCATGTGATCTGTAACCCTGCAGTCCTGGGTTGATCCTATCTTGCTCTCCCTGGCTCAATGGCCCAGGAAAAGTGACTTCACTGGGCCTCAGGGTCCTCCTCCATAACCTGGGGAGCACCATGAGAGGAAGAAACAAGAGTACAGAGTACAGGGAAAGCCCTGGGGATGAGCCCTGGTGTCTCCCCTGATTGTGGCTTCCTGCTCCCCTTCCCCAGGAGCATGGGTTCAAACCCAAAGGGGTTAAAGTTGAACTTACCACAAGGAACCCCTGAAGAGTTAGAGGGATGAGAAAGGGCACTCATATGTTGAACAGGTGGCCTTGGGCCAGTCCCTAACTTCTGAGCCTAAGTCTTCTTACCTGTAAAGTGGTGCTAATGCTATCAGCCAGCATGGTCCATGCAAAACCCTCAGAGGAGGCTGAGTACGCGGTCAGTTCTATTACTGAGTTTCTACCACATGCCAGGCCCTCCCAGATTTTAACTCATTGTATTTCTAAGAGGGAGAAAACACCACCCCCATTTTCCAGAGGAAGAAACTGAGACTCAGAAAGGCTGAGTCCCTTGCGTAGGTTGCCCCTTGGGTCTGCCAGACCCCAAAGCCTGTGCTCAGCCCGCTGATATACCCAGCTGTCCACGGAGTCTTGAAGGTCACTGCCAGTCCTGGGGAAGACGCTGGGCTACCCCAGGGGCTCCTGGGGTAGAGGATCTCCTCCCATATCTTAGAGCATTTATTGAGTGCCTACTGTATACAGGCACTGAGGCGATAGCAGCGGATTAGCAGACCTTAGGACGTGTACAATGTGTGTGTCTGTGTGCTCTCCACATACACACAGATCTAACCCTCCCAGCCCTGGAGAGGGGATCACTCTACCCTACTTCCACTTAACTGGTGGAGAAACTGAGGCTCCAAACAGGGAAGCAACTTGCCCACAGTAGTGCAGCGGGGCTCTGAGCTCCTGGCCTTGGACTCCCGTGACGCAAGCTTCGACTGGGGATGGCGAGAGGAGAGAGACCCGGCTCACCAAGCAGGCTACAAGACCGGAGATGCAGCAGGCAGAATCGATCCGGGCTGCCAGAGCGTTATTGGATTGTTCCTGGCTCCTGGGCCTCCTTCACCCTCTGCTCCTCCCAGAATCCCCTCCTCTTTGCCCTCCCCTACCTCTAGTCCCCTCAGAGCTGAGCCTGGGAGGCAGGGGAAGAGAGGAGGAAAGAGTGATTGTTCATTGGTTATCTGGGCTCCTGAGTGGATTGGACACAAAGCATCAGACAGCAGCGGGAGCTTCCTGGCCTGAAAGATGGGGCCCATAACCCCAGGATTGTGGCAGGGAGGTGACTCAAAGAGCCTCATGTTGCTGCCCCCACCTGAAGCTTCTTCCTGTTCCCCACCAGCCACAACGCCAGGCAGTTCTGAGCGAGTTCCCTCCCCTTTGCAGAAGCCTATGTCGCTCCTCTCCTCTCCTCTCCTCTCCTCTCTTCACGGGGACTGGCCCTCTTGTCTCCTCAGTGTACCTCTGGGACCAGCCGGATGAGGGGCTTTTGGGGACACCGCTCAGCTTAGAGGAGCAAATACTCAACTCCACGTTCGAAGCTTGTGACCCCCAGAGGACAGGTGGGAGGGGCAGGGATGGAGGGCATGGGAACTGGGGAGCCATAGAGAGAAGGATGTGCTAGGGCCCTTCCTGGAGGTCCTGTAGGACATGGGTGATGGTGGGAAGCTCCAGGAAGAGCTGCACAAGGGGATGAAGGCCTTTCAGGCAAGGACAGTGAGGGGAAGAAGATTTGGGGAACATGAAGGGAAGAAGGTGGGGCTTTGATGCCTGGGAGGTGGCGGGAGGGCAGACACTGTTCCCTTGGCAGGGGGGGGACAGTTGGTCCTCTTTGGCCCACCGTCTGAGGTGAGGATGAGTTGTGGAAAAGTCCAGGCGGAAAAGTGGACTCAGAGGAGGGGGAAAGGACTTACCCAACTTGTCTCAGCCGGGCTGTGGTGCCAGATGCCCCCAGCCTAGCCAGTGACATCCTGATGCTCCCAACTCCCACCCTCCCTCCTAGCCTCAGATTCCCTTATGGCATGCTCTGTCCCCAGGCTTTGTGGCTGTGACCCACGTACTAGCCTACCTGGAGGCTGTGACAGGACAGGGCCCCCAGGATGCACGCCTCCAAACACTGGCCTGCAGCCTGGATCCCAATGGGAAGGGCCCTGAGGCCACCGTGGACTTGGATACCTTCCTAGTCGTCATGCGGGACTGGATTGCTGCCTGTCAGCTGGATGGGTGGGTCCCTGTACCTCCACCCTCCCCCTGGGAAGTCCTTCTGAAGATCTAACCTCACACCTGCTTACTGCAGCCAGCACCCGTTGGGCACAGGGACGTCCTGTGGTTGAAAGGAGGCTGAGGAGAGAAAAAGTAAAGGGAGGGGATGGGGAAGCAACAGAGGGTCTAAGGACGAAGTGCCTGGGATGGGGAGGTAAAAAGGGGTCTGGGAGGCAGAAATAAAAGGGGCTGGAAAGAGGAAAAGGGGGAGGTGATGGGGGGCTGACAGATACCCCTCACCATCCCCTCTCCAGCCCCAGTCCTCGCCCTCCTGCTTTTCCATCTGGCCCAGGGCGCTTGCCATCTGGCCTCACCTTCCTCCCCATTGTGCTCACTCTCACCTAACCTGGCCCCTCCTCCAGCCCCCTAGAATCCCCCTGCTGGGTTCCAGGGTGGCTGCAGGGAGCTCTAAGCCTCCCCCCTTTGATGTAGAAGATTAGAGCTGGAAGAGGAGACCACCTTCAAGGGGGCCCCGACCTCCCAGCGACTGCCATCTGGTGAGATTGCTATATATAGAATGAAGCAGACTGGCCCAGGGTCAGACAGTGGGGGGACTTCCCACTTGGTGACAGCAGGGATAGAGTGGGACCTTTGCTCTAGCCTGGAGTTGTGAGTTTGGCTTTCTAGTCACCTTCATGACAGACTCCCCACCTTCCCTGAGCTTTGGGGGTTTTATTCCTCTGGGGTTCTTTCCCAAACCACCTCTGAACACTGGCCCTGTTATAGAGCCCTACAAGGCCCCGCCCACCTCTCATTGTCTTTCTACCCCAGATGCTCCAGGCTAAGGTCCCTTGCTCTCCACACACACGGGCACACACACTCACACACACTCACAGACCTGCATTCCTTTCCAGCAGAAACATGATAATCTGATTAGTTACCTGCCCTGCTGCTTGGTTAGTTGATTTACTCACCACTGCCCTAGACCTCATACACAGGAGGTGCTCCAAAAACAACTGTTTATGTTATGTTTCTTCAGCCTCACAAAAACAAAAGAAAATAGAGTAGAGCTTACTTTTCGTTCCTTGAACCTCCTCCCGTTGGGCTTGGGGGCCAAGGGACGACTGTGAGCAGGGGAGGGGTGGGGCTCAGCTCTGGATGCGGGAAGGCCAGGAGGCGGGGGGGCAGGCCGTGGTAAGGGTCCAGGGGGATAGAGAAGGGGGTAGAGCAGAGAGTCAGAGAGGAGGGGGACTGGGCCTAGGCCCCAGGAGATGGTAGACAGGAGAAGCAGGGGACCCAGGTGGTAAGTTGCATAAAGGCTGGGAGGAGGAACAAATTTGGGGGCAATGGAGGTGCTGCCCAGTGTTGGGCATGGAAAGACAGGGCTATCTGAGAGATCCAGCCTGAGCTCCGGTACTGGGAGACTAGAGGCTTTTCCGATGTTTGGTGTAATGATGGCTTGGGAGCAGCTGGTCAGCCAGAAGAAATGTGCAGGTGGAAGCCAGAGGGGGACCAAGCCCAGAGACCGGGTCACCCAACATTCAAAGTCACTGAGGAGCTCACCTCCTGTTGTCTGTCTCCCTCCAGGATGCCTAGACACCGAGGAGCCAGACAACCTGGAGAGCTTCGGCGGCGAAGACCCCAGACCTGAGCCGTACCTATCCTCAGGCCCCTCTTTGCTGCCCCATCCCCGCCCCACGGGGCCTGGGCCCTCCAGCCTACCCAGGGCCTGGCTAGGGCTTGGGGTCCTTGGGGAGTGGATGCGGGACAGAGGCTGTACTAACAGCTCAGGGAGAGCGGCGCCATCTCCCACCTGTTCCTCTTTCTCCAGAAGAGCACATGTCCCCTCACCCTCACCACTTACTGTCACCTGGGAAAAAAGTCTGGGGCTGTGGGTGGTGACCCGGGCCCTTCCTGCCCCCCAGGCCCGGCACAGCCGACCTGCTGAGCACCCTGGAGGACCTGGAGCTCAATAACCGCAGGTTGGCCGGGGAGAATGCCAAACTGCAGCGCAGCGTGGAGACGGCTGAGGAGGGGTCTGCACGCCTCGGGGAGGAGATCTTGGCCCTGCGCAAGCAGCTCCGCAGGTGGGCCAGAACCCATGTCCACTGTCCTGTGTCCCCCCTGACCACAGCCCCAGCCTCACTCTCCCTGCATTTCCTGCTCCTTGTCTATGACTCCACACCTGTCCCTTTCTTCTCTTTTTCTCTTTTTGTGTCCCCCTGGTTCTTATCTCTCAGCCTCTAGGGTTCAGATTTTTCCATATTCTTCCCTCTCTGACTCTCCATCTCAGCGGCCTATTTCTTTTCCTGTGCTCTGTCTTCCTCATGTCTGTCCTGCTCCCCTATTGTAGTCTCCCACTCTCGAGGACTCCGTCCCACCCCCTAGTCTTTTAGGCAGAAGCTTGGTCTCTGTCCCTCATACTCCGTCCTTTCCCCCCTCTCTTCTCTGAGTCTCTGTCCCCCTCTCTCTGTGTCTCCATCCCCCTGTACCTCTAGGTCTCTGGGATTTTTCTCTGTTGCTTCTGTCTCTCTGAGCAGACCTCCCTCTATGGTCTCTGTCTTCCTCTCCCACATCACCACATGTCCTTGCTCCACTCAGTACCCAGCAGGCTCTGCAGTTCGCCAAGGTCGTGGATGAGGAACTGGAGGACCTGAAGAGTCTGGCCAAGAGCCTGGAGGAACAGAACCGCAGTCTCCTGGCCCACGCCCGGCATACCGTAGGTCCTGAGCAAGGGGCACGAGGGTGTCCTCCTCCTTCCCACTTTCTTGGAGTTTGATCAAGAGCCTGACTATGGAATGGGAAGAGGCCGAGGTCCCCTGGGCTTCCTCTGTCACCCCAGGTCCTGCTTGCCTTAGACTTTGAGGCCAGATCTACTTGCCATCTCTCTAATGACAAAGGGGACAGCCAGGGCCATCAGGATTCCCCAGACCCCTTGCCCCAGCCCGGCTCCTCAGTGACTCAGGCCCAAATTGGTGGGAACGGGTGGTGGGAAGGACAATATGGGGACAAGGAAGCCTCCAAAGAAACCTTTGTCCTTTCTCCGGGGTCACTAGGAAAAGGAGCAGCAGCATCTAGTGGCTGAGCTGGAGACTCTGCAGGAGGAGGTGAGCAAAGCCTAGTGCCCACCCCCACCTCTTCCCCAGTCCTCCCTGCCATGACTCAGACACCCCCAGAAACCTGCGGACCAAATACCCTTCAGTCTGGTGAGGGAGACCCCAGGATCCAAATAACATGTGAACTCCTGTTAAGGTCACATCACTGCATGTGAGAGCTGCCACGGTTGGTCAGAGTGTAGGACAGGGGCAGGCTGCCTGGGTTCACACCGACGCCGCTGACAGAAGCATGGGTCCCCTTTCTGTGCCTCTGTCCTTACCTGTGAAAATGCGCAAATTAATAGAATCTCCTTCATTGGGGTATGTGAGGTTTAAACAAGGGATGCTTATAAAGGCACAAAGCTAGACATGTGGGAAGTGCTCACTAAGTTAGTGTTGTTCATGTATTAGTATTTTTTTTTTATGGTGGAAAGAACACAGGCCTTGAAGTCAGCTCTGAGTTCAAATCCCATCTCTGCCACTTACACAACAGACAACCTTTAGGCATGTGGCCCTTCCCGAGCCCCAGCCTCCTTTTCTGAGAATGGGGGAGGAGGGTGTCTGTTCAACAGGGTTATTATGGGAATTAAATGACTGCTTTTAGCCCAGGGCCCAGCACATAACATGAACAGGCCCAGTTCAATCTCATATCTGAGTCAAGCCACATTCTAAATGCAGCAGAAATTGTCATCTGAGCTCATTCTGGGACCACCTGGTCCTTTTAGGTGGAAATTGAAACTCATCATTTGATGATGACATTTGTCACCGTCCCCCCACAAGATGGCATCTAAGTTGCTGGAGACTCAGACAGCACCTTCGTGCTCCAGGAGGCGGCGGTCCTTGCTCACATCTGTTCTCTCTGCCGGCCACAGGATTGATGTTCATAGTCCCATCTGGTGCTGGGCCTTAGTCACCACTGCGCGCTGCCATCCACTGGGAGGCTGACATTGCCTTCAGGTCTCTAGACAATACAGTCCTCACTGCATCTGCTGCTGTGGCCCCGGTAAAGGCCGCTGGGGCTCTCGCTCAGCCCCTTCTATACCCTTCTAGGGGCACAGAGAAGACTTAGCTGCTTTCCTGTGACTCTGCGGCCACAGGGGCCTCACTGAGCCCTCTGTGTCTTAACCACTCACAGGGCTATTTCAATTCTATTACTCGCATGTCTTGCTGGTTCTGTGACCAAGCTGGAAAACACGTCTCTCAGATTCTCAGATGCCCCAGGGGTTCTGCGATTCAAGTGCATCCATTCTTGCCCCCTCACAGCTAACTCTGGACTTGGGATGGCTCAGGGCCTGTTTTCTCTGTTGCTTTCTTCTTCAACTCTCCTACAACCCTCCCCCCCCCGCCCCGCCCCCTGCCCTAAGGCTCTCTGCCCAGTTCAGGCAAGGATACTGACTGTGCCTGACCCCGCAGATCTTTGTCCTATGTTTGCAAGTGGCTTTTACATTTAAATCAAAACATTTTCTACTGTTGTTTTCTGGATCTTCCATGAAAATTCCCTCTCTTGGGGCTATGGGAATCTCACTGCAGAATGGCCGCCACAGTGTGAGATATGGGGTACAGATATAATGTGACTCTTTCTTCCAGAACTTCTCTTTTTAAAAACAAGGAGAAATTTTCCCTAAAGCTCCGGCAGAACCCCCTCTTATATCTCTTTGGCCAAAGTCGCAGATGGCTATAGCCAAAGCACTCTGTGGAATGGGCAACACAGCCCCAATGGGTCTGGAATGCTGATTAACAAGAGGTTTTGAAGATCTCTGGGTTGGTTTGGAAGCTCTTCAGCTTGTTTGTCTGTCTGTAGCCTCATGATCACAGGTGGCTGCAACAACTCCTGACTTCATGTCCTCATTCAAAACAGGACAAAGGGGCCAGAGGGCCCAGCAAATGCTCCTGTCATGGCTCTCACTTTTCATCAGATCTCTCTTACATCTCACTGGTGGAACTGGATCACATGAAAACCTCCCCTCGCCCCCCGCTGCCAGCTGCCAAGAGGCTGGGAGAATATCCTGAGCCTCTGGAGGGGGGAACAGCTGCCGGGTTAGCTAACCTGCCTGGTCTCCTGAATCTGCTGAGATTTCCATCTGGATTCACCCTGCAGGGCTGGGCCTGGGACCCACCTGCCCATGTGGAGAAAGGACCCCCCAATGAAAGCAGAAGAAGGAATAAGGGTGAATGGCAGCCAGCGGTCTCTGCCTCTTCCCAACCCAGAAGGCCTGCTGCCAGGTCAAGTGCCTTGAGCTGAGCCTGGGACATCCTAGGCGCTCAATAACTGGAGCTATTCTTGGATCCCTCCCCTCTGTCTTTCCCCTCACTGGCAGCTGCCTACAGAACATCTATAGATCGAGTTCTCAAGTTACAGTACAATAATGCTGGAGTAAGGGACACTCAGACACTCAGCTTTCCTACGGAGAACCTACGGAGCAGGGCTCAGGTTACTGCAGAAGGGGACAGAAGCGGCTGAGTAACCAGGTTCCCTGCTGAGTGGCCCAGGATCTAGCCTGCAAATCCCGACCAGGTGGACAGATGTTGACACAGCATTCCTGGCCCGTCCTTCCTCCGCCCTTCACCTGACTGTCCAGGCCTGCTGAGACTGAGGGAGGGAGCTCAGCTGATGGACGACTTGCAGCCCGAGGGCTAGAGAAAAGGAGGAGCTGGCCTTGGTATCCCCAGGGGCGCCAGGATGTGGCAAAGGAAGTCAACAGCCTCCATGCCCAGAAATGCTTTTCCTCATGACTGCCTCACATCAAAACACTGTTCAACTTGCTAGATTTTTGGTACTCAGCAACTCTAAATTGGAATTTGGGCCATTTTATTCTCAGTCCTATTTTGTAGCTGGCCCTGCCCACTGCCCTCTCCCAGCCCCCCCGACCCCTTTGTTTTTCCCAATAATCCTCCATATTGAGGATTCAGCCCTGGCCCCAGCTCCTCAGGAAGCTCCTCATCAGGGCTCTCAGAGGGCCCAGGCCATAGTCCTCATCAGAGTCCACCGCACACATCATCAGTTTCTGCATTGGTCTCCACCTCCACTGATGGACTTGGGGCAAGGGATGAAGCTGGTTCCCCATTCTCACCTAAGGCTTTGTCTGGCTCATAGGAGAGTCTGGGGATTAGAAGCACAGGATTTGGGATTAGATTTGAGTTTGAGTCCACTTACCACATGGCCTTGGCCAAGTTTCTTAAACTCTCTGATCCTCAATTTCCTCTATAAAATAGGGGATGATGACAGTAAAAACATTGTTAGGGCAGCCAGATATTACATTCTTCCTGAATGACATGATATGACATGTACGAGGTTTGTCCAGAAAAAGTCCAGCCATTGTTAATATAAAACAGTGTGTACAACATCGATGCAACCTGGTAGCCAAGGAGAGTGGACTGGAATGCACATGCACGAACAATGATGACTTCACTCTACTAGTAGTCATTGGGGGCAGTAGATGCCATTGAGTGAGCATTTGTACTGTGTGGCCGTCACATTCAAAATGAGTGAGTAGAGGAACAAACCTGCATCACATTTTGTGTTAAGCTTGAACTTTCCTCCACGGAAACTATTCGGATGACCCAGAAAGCCACATCTATGGGCACTGGTAATTGGCAGCTTTGTCACGACAATACACCCCCTCATGCATCACCTCTCATGCAGTTTTTTGGTGAAACATCAAATCAACCAGGTGACTCAGTTCCCTACAGCTCAGATTTGGCCCTTGCAACTTCTGGCATTTCCCAGAGCTAAATCACCTTTAAAAAGGAAGAGATTTCAGACCATCAGTGAGATTCAGGGAAATATGACAGGACAGCTGATGGCAATTGGGAGAATGTATGAGGTCCCAAAGTGCCTACTTTGAAGGGGACTGAGGCATCGTCCTATGGACAATATTGTATCTTCTTCAATAAATGTCTGAATTTTTCTTATTACATGGCTGGATACCTTCTGGACAGACCTCATATAGTAGCAACCCATGAAATCTGCCTGCCAAAAAGTTGAAAAAGTCGGGAAACAGCCCTGGATCTACCCACCAGTTTACAGGAGGTAATAAAGATTCAGGGACATGGTCAACATCACCATGAGGAAGGAGAACACTATAAACCAAATCCAAATGCACCAATTCTACAAGACAATCTGGTTTCTTCAACAAAAGAAAGGCCCCAAAAAGTGCCACAGTTGGAAGGTGGGGGATCACTCTCAGATAAAAAGAATTGAGACATTTCAACCAAAGCCCATGGATCCTCATTCAAAGAAAATGTGAAGCAGTTGTGAGACAAAACAAAAGAACACACATTGGGCTTGAGATGACACTAAGGAATTGTTAATTTTGTTAAGGATGACAATGGTAGGTATTGTAGTTTTGCTAAAGGAAAGGTCCTTAAGTAGGAGATTAAAATGCTGGAGTAGTTACATGTAAAATAATACGATGCCTGGTATTTGCTTTAAAATAGTCTAGTGAAACCCCAAACAAAACAAAAACTCTGGAGGCTAGAGAAGAAACAAACTGGGAAACTGTATATAATTATTAAAGGCAGCTGATGAGTATCAGGGATTTATTATACTGTTATTTTTACTTTTGTGTGTGTGAAAAAATTCATAATCCAAAGTTTTTTAAATATTTACATTTTTTCAATTAGAGTTTATATTTAATACTGTTTCATATTAGTTTCAGGTATACAACCATTCATATACTTAAAAAAGTCTTCTCCCTGATATTTCCAGTATCCTCCTGTCCTCATACATAATTATTACAGTATTATTGACTATATTTCCTATGCTGTACTTTACATCCCTGTGACTATTTTGTAACTGCCAATCTGCACTTCTCAATCCCTTGACCTTTTTCAACCCCCTCCCCTCTGGCAACCATCAGTCTGTTCTCTTTATCTATGAGTCTATTTCTGTTGTGTTTGTTCATTTATATTGTTATTTAGATTCCACAAAAATATTTTAATATAACATTTACCAAACATTTGGTATATGTCAGGCACTATTCTAATGCTTTGTGCTATTAACACATATTTGCACTAATTACCACCTTTTAGACTTGGGCCAAGTCACTCAACCTTTCTGTATGAGTTGCTTTTATTTATTTATTTTTGTTAAATATCTTATTTATTTATTTTCAGATAGAGGAGAAGGGAGGAAGAAAGAGAGAGAGAGAAGCATTGATTGGTTGCCTCTTGAATGGGGACCTGGCCCCGCAACCCTCGCATGTGTCCTGACAGGGAATCGAACCACCAACCTTTTGGTTCACAGGCCAGCACTCAGTCTGCTGAGCCACACCAGCCAGGACTCAGTGGATTGCTTTTATCTTTAAAATAGGGGATTAAAAATAATTCAATAGGAGATAAGAAATGAGGTAACACATGCAAGATGCTCAGTAAGTGTTAGCAATTGGCTCATTTAATCCTCACAGCAAACGCATGAAGTAGGTTCTATCTTATCTCCACTTTTACAGGTGAGAGACAGACTGACTGACACAGAGAAATCAAAGCTGAAATTCCATAGGGTGTTCAGAGGGACTACACAGTAAAAACCTGTAAAGTGCTTAGCACGAGGCCTGTTGCGCATCAAGTGTCAGCAAACATCGGCTATGAGCAGTAGCATCACCGTTTGCTGAAGTGAACATGACTGGCCATTCCTTCTTCCAGAATGGGCGGCTGCTGGCTGAGCGCGATGGAGTGAAGAGGAGGACTGAGGAGCTGGCCTTGGAGAAGGATGCTTTAAAGGTGCCACCCGTCCCTAACGCCTTGACAACTTTCCCCCCACCCCACCCCACCCCCGGGCCATTTTTACCTTCTCCAGTTGCAGCCACTGAGGCCTGGTGAGAGCCGGAGCTTCCCTCCAGCCTCCAGGCTCCCAGGGCTGCCAGGCAGCGTGGCTGAAATCCCTGTCCGTGTAGTTGCTGTCCAGAGACCTGGCGGGAGGCTAAGGAGAAGGGTTGGGGAGTGGGCAGGCCAGGGGAGGGTCCCCGGAGGCAGGACAGATGGACAGGCTCCTTCCTCGGCAGCGGCAGCTGTATGAGTGTGAACACCTCATTTGCCAACGAGACGCCGACCTATCTGAGGTGAGGGGCCTGGGGTGGGGGTGACATTCGCTTCCATGTGCACCTTCCCATCTCCTGCCCCGAGTCTGGAAAGGGAAGTCCTGCCTGGCTCTGATCCTTGGATAAACAAGCAGCCTGGAGAGCTCAGAGGATCCCCCTGAGGTCACAAGCATGACCCTGCAGGATCTGGAAAGCCAGTGCTGTCCCTCAGGCCCCAGCCCTGCCCCCAGGCTTACCCTGCACACCCCCACACCCGCACTCCTAGCCTCAGTGTCTTTGTGGGGCTGGACCCAGTCTCAGGGGCTTTGGGCTTTCCCAGCGCACTTGCCACGCAGAGAGTCTGGCCAAGACCTTGGAAGAGTACAGAACAACAACCCAGGTAACCCAGGCCTCCTAACCCACCCTCGGTGGCCCCCGCCTGGCCTCAGTCTCCTCACTTCTCTTTTGCCACCTTCAAGATTCACTGCCTCTTTCTGCCTCGGTCAGTCTTGTCTCGAGTCTCCTCATCTCACTTCCATCTCCACTGTTTGACTGTGTCCCTCTTTCCATCTCTCTCTCTGCCTTTGCACTTTTTCTCTGTCTTCCCTTTCTCTCTCATTCTGTCTATCTCCGTTTCCATCCTCTGTGGGTGTCTTCTCACCGCATCTCCCCTCCTTTACTCTACGTATATCTGCCTGGCTTATTTAGGCTCTTGTTTTGGCTCCTCTCTGGATCTAGCATGTCTCCCAGGTCTTTAGGAGTCTCTTATACCTCGTGTGTCCCTTGTCTCCCTGTGAATGTGTCCATCCATGTTTTGTTGTTCCATGTGTCTCCACACCTGCCTTCCTTTGCTTAATTTTCCTGGTTGGTAGGTTACCTTCTGGGTTCCTGCTGCTCTGTCTCTCTCTGGCCTCCTACGTTTCTTCCCCATGTGCCTTGGGAATATGTACCATATCTTGTAGAGCTGAAAGAAGCCAGGGGGATGGAATTGACCTTGGAAGAAGAGCCTGGTGGGGGGGGGGGGGAGAATGGAAAGCCAGGTGTCCCTCTCTCTCTCCTTCGCAGGAACTGAGGCTAGAAATCTCACACCTGGAGGAGCAACTGAGTCAGATCCATAAGGGGCAGGATGAGTGAGTGAACATGAGGGGGGTGGAGGAGGCAGGAGGAGAGCCTAAGCGCAGGGACCCCCCTCCGACCCTCCAGCCCCAAGATGGGCAGGGTCGCAGCCCCAGGGCAGGCCGACCTCCAGGTGGGGGCAGGCACAGAGGCCTTCTCCCTCCTGCCTGTGTGGCCAGGCCACCCAAAGGGGCTCAGGCGAGACAAGAGGACTGGACCAAGCTGCTGCCTCCATCACTGGGCATGGAGATCCAGGCCATTTGGCAGGTGCGCCTGGCACCCCAGGAACACCCCAACCCACATCAAGCTGCTACTCTGACCCAGCTCTGACTCTTACCCTGCCCCGTCTCCCCTCCGGGCCATCTCTCCCGCCCTCGTCCCTCATCCAGTTCCTCGTCCTGGCACCACACCCTTCCTGGTTCCTGCCACCACCCCTTACCCCCACACCCCCTCTCCCCCGTCCAGCCTCATACCAGCTCCCCTCCTCCTCCCGTCTGCGCACCTCAGCCCATCTCCATCCCCCTCCCCGACCTGCCTTCTGCCGCAGTCTGACCCTCCTTGACCTCAGAAACAACTTCTCTCCCAGAAACAAGAAGAGGCGGCCACTGACCTCTCCAGCCCTCTGTGTGGAGTGTGGCAGTGGGAGGAGGGCCTCTGTGAGAGCGATGGGGAAGCCGAGGGACAGGTGAGCATGGGAGGGGCCTGAGACCAGTGGAGTCCAGAGCTGGGGTTCAGAGCTGGGGAAGGGCCTGGGACTCTTCCTGCGCTTTTCCTCATTCCCTAGACAGATGTTGACTGAGGGGCCCCTGAAGGACATGGAGCCCAAGCCTGACAGGACACCATCCCTGCCCTCTAGGGACTGGCCGCTAGTGTGGAAGCCAAAAGGGAAGAAAGCAGACACACAGATTTCTTTGTGGTGGTGGTTGTTGTTTAGGAAACAACTGTCAGAAACCACCTCATTTAAAGTAGTACTACATACGTTAAAAAACAGTCGTGGGGATGTAAAGTACAGCATAGGGAATATAGTCAATAATATTGCAATAACTACATATTGTTATATAGTGCCAGGTGGGTACTGGAAATATTGGGGGAAACAGTTTGTAAAATATATGATTGTCTAACCACTATACTGTGCACCTGAAACCAATACGAAGTAATATTGAAAATGCCCTGACCAGCGTGGCTCAGTTGGTTGGCTGTCATCCCGCAAAGTGAAAGGTCACCGGTTCAATTCAGGGCACATGCCTGAGTTGTGGGTTCCCTGGTTAAACCAGGCGCGTATAAGAGGAAACTAATCGATGTTTCCCTCCCTTTCTTTCTCCCTCCTTTCCCCTCTTTCTAAACATAAATAAATAGGATCTTTAAAAATAATAATAATATTGAAAGTAAAATGTAATTGAAAAAAATTTTTAAATGAAGTCAAAAAATCCTTAAAAAGTAAAAATAAAATAAAATAAGTAGAATGGTACTACAGTGGGAAGTGAACTGTTCTTCCTGACACTGTAAAGACATGCTAAGCATTTACCTTAGCAAATCCACTATGAACTCTTGAACTCAACAATAGCCATTGTTTTATGACTTCTGTGGTTATCTGAACAATAATATTATAGTATTTGAAATAACTGAGGAAACTCAGCTCTAATGTCCACAACTAGAAAGTGAGATTTTAATTCATTAGTGCCAGAAGATTCTTTTTAAAGAAAATATGGCTAACAGCTCTCTGTAAACTACAATACTGCTTCCAAGCTGTTTGTCATTCTTAAAGGACACTCACTTCTCTGCTCAGTTTTTCCCTGGGTTGAGACGCTTCTGTGTTTTTCTTTGACACGAGTGCTCTGGCTTTCTCATTTACCTCTCCCGTATTCTCTGCGAGGCAAGCTTCCTCATCCCTCACCGTTCCACTCGTGGGAAACTGAGGCTCAGAGCAGGATCCTGTGTCCGCTGTCACACAGCTTGTGAAGGCGCAGCTGCATCTCTGAAAGGAAATGAGCTGCTGCCTTGAGCTCTCAGCCACCCGCCCAGGAGAGGACTGATCCTGCCGCAGGGCGCCACCTGCACTGGGGCCCACAGGGCGAGCATGGAGGCGCGCAGGTCCCAGGCCCCTTAGCACTCAAGGCCTGGTGGAGAGTTCCCACAAGCAGGCCGCCCTAATGCCAGAGGATGGGTGATGGGTGTGCTAGAGGTGGGGGTGGGCCCTGGGGGAGCCCAGAGAAGGCGGTGCCTGGATCAGGTGGGAGGTTGGGAGAGATTGTCACAGGGGAACTGACACTTGCATTGGTTTTGGAGAGAAGTTAAGCAGGGTGAGGAAAGCATGGCCTCCCAGGCGGTGGGAGCAGGACACATGGCGGCGTGGAACTGCATGGTTGCCTGGGGAGGAGAGGCCAGCCCGGGAGACTAGTGGGAGGTGAGAGCGGGCTGGACCGTGAAAGACTTCCCTGGCAATCAAGCTAAGAGGCTGTGCTTTTCTCCATCAGCCGGAGGAGGGCTCTGAGCAGGGAGCGGGGCGCAGCTCTGGATGTGGAAGGGTCCCTCTGGGGCCAGCCACCTGGGGACTGAGGTGGGAGGCCAGGCAGGAGGTTGATGCAATGGTCCAGGGGCGGGGATGAAGCCTGAGCCAGGCCAGGACCTTGGGGTGGAGAAAGAGGGCTGGGCACAAGGACTGGGGCGGGGAAGGGAGCTGCAGACAGGTGGGCTGGTGTCCAGGGGATGCAAACGGGATGGAAGAGGGGAAACGCTGAGCTTATTTTGCGACGTAATGAGGTGAGGGACGTGGCGGGTGGGCGGTGCTGCTCAGGGGCAGTGGCAACGCAAAGATGGAGCTCAGGAATGTATTTAGATAACAGTGTCCAGCTGACTGAAGCCATAAGATGAGATGTCTCTGGAGAAAACAGAGTGGGACCTTGGTCCTGAGGGAAGGCAGATGGTCGAGCTGTCCCAAGACTGGGAGCCTGGGAGGAGAATGGTGTCTGAAAGGGGAACACTGAGCCCCTTTTGGGTCCAAGTGAGAAGTTAGGGGGACCCGGACTCCTGGGTCCTGAAGTAGAAAGGGGCTCGGCTTGGTGGGGTCCAAAAAATGCTTCAATTTCTGGCTTCTGCTGGGGGCGGGCTGGGGGATGACAGAGTTGTCCCTGAGGAGAGGGCCCAAGAGGAAGGCAGGTTTTTAAAGAAGATGGTGAATTCCTGAGATGGAGCAGCCCGGAAGACCTACCTTTTTTTTTCTTTTCCCCACAGAGAAACTTCCAGGGAGGGCCAGCATACCCTCATGAAGGAAGGAAGGAGCAATCGATGTGGTAAGAAGCCTGTTCCTCCCAGAGCCATCCCTGTGCCCTGGGTGACACCTCATTCTCAGAGGGATGGATGTAGGAACTGGAAGGGCCCTGACAGAGCCTCACATTGCTAACTCACTTACATATTCATTCATTCATTCATTCATTCATTCATTCATTCATGCTGAGGCAGGCCTGGGTCTGTGGACCAGGATGAGTGAGACCCAGCCCTGGCCTGGCCTAGGGGGAATCAGCCCCGATCCAGATAATTCCAGGAGGACCTTGAGCACCTAACGCCACCTGCAATGGAGGGAGGGCTTCCAGGGGAGGTGACACCTGAATGGGGTCCTGTAGGAGTGGCATTCAAGTAGGAGACTCTTAGATAAAAGAAGACAGTCATCCAGCAGATGGGACAGCTCAGTCAGTCGGTCACCCTCACTGAACACACCTCTCCAAGGCCTCCAGGGATGACCGAGCCCCAGGCTGGACCCCTGGAGAGCACCCAGGCCATGGGGAGATCAAATCAGGAATCGGACTCCTCGGGTTCCAATCCCCGCTCAGCGCTTTGTCACAGAGGCGGTGGGAGCACTCAGCATAATGCCACGGAGCTCCCGCTAGCCCTGCGACCGCTATGAGGCTTGTGTGCAGGCCTTTGAGGAGAGAGAAAGCACTGGACGTCTGCGCTACCCTCCTTGGGGCCCTGGCCTTGGGGCCTCCGGTTCCCTGTGGTGCCACCCTCTCTCCCTCCTCGCTCTCAGACTCCTGGCTGTAGCAACTAATGAGGCTGCCTGCCATGCTCTAATTGGACTTGTCTGGGAAAGCTGGCATCGGGTGGGATGGGGGCTCCGGAGCTGTGACCTCCCCTCAGTCACCAAGAAATGGAAGGGAGAAGGGGCGGAGCAGCAGCTGGGGCGGGGGCTGGACATCTGAGTGTCCAGGGGCAAGGGCAGGGTGACCCACACATTGGAAAGCAGGGAGTGGGGGAGGCGGTGAAATCCTGCGACCCTGGAAGCTGGGGATGAGAGCGTGAACCTCGAGAGGCTCTGCGTTCCTTTTGGGCTGCCATTTGAGGAAACAGATAAATCCTGAGGGGGTGTGTCTGAAACTGGAGGGCTGAATCCCTTGTCCCCAAAGAAGATGATGGCTGGTAGTGCAGACATCTGGGCAGTCAGGGGCATCCGGCCGGGCAACGTGAGGCCTGAGTCCCTAAAGAGGCATTTCAGGGACTCGGGCAGCTGTGACCCTCGGAGGGGCAGAGGTGGGGCCTTCAGAGAAATGATTTAGGATGGGAGTGGCACTCACGCAGCTGGATTCTGGAGTCCGAGTCCTGAGAGACCCATGGTACTGAGACTCACTGAAAACAGTGCCACCCAGCAGGCAGGACGCAGCGGGCAGGGTCTCCATGGGCCCGGGCTGAGTCTCTGGCGTCTTGGGGAGTGAGCGCGGAAGCCTCAGCTCCTAGCCGCGTCAACTAGAAAAGCAGCAGCTGGGAAAGCCAGTGAAGAGAGAGCCTCTCGCCCTTTCTGAGGCTACAGGCCCCAGGCCCACCCGTGGAGCCCATTCCTCTTTAAGGGCCAAGGGAGCCAGGCCGAGAGAGGGCGCTCACAGAGACTTTGCTGTTGGCCCAGGTTTCCCAGAAGAGAGGAAGAGGAGGAAGCAGAGACCCCGGTCATGGTCACGGTAGGCAGTCCCCGCAGCCCTCCCCAGTGCCCATCCGCTCCAGGCCCTTGGAGGGGACTGATGTCATCACAACGGCTCCCCAGCTCCCACCCACACCCCCACTTCCCCGGAGCAGACAGAAAAATCGTTTGGCCAAGAGATAACAAGGCCCTCGCTGTAGCTAATGAGAGCGGATGGTGCTGCGGGGGGCGGCCCGCAGGCCAGTGGGCGGCCGGAATGTTCCCAGGGGACCCCCCCACAAGCGCACACCGGGCTTCAGCCGCCACACCACCGGCTCACAGACGCAGCTACACCCCCGGATTGCGAAAATGCACACGCACAAGCGCCCACACACAGGAAGGGGCCAGGCCCTCCCCAGCGGCCTCAGAACTTTCTCGGGGCACAGCACCCCCCTGCCCAGCACCACACAGAGGGGTTTCTTTGCTTCTCTATGAGGCAGGCGACGGCGCCTATTCTCAGGCGAGGAAAGGGAGGGAAGGAAGTGCAGCAAGGCCAGGAGCCTGCAGTCCCGGCTGAGGATGTGAGAGCCCAAATGAGTGCCAGGTTCTGTCCAGGGCCCACACCGTCCAAGGTGGCCGCTGTGAGCAGCCTGACCTGCCACCACCTCCACGAAGACTGGGCCCCGCCCCCTTCCCTGGTACTAGAGCGGCCATGACCTTCACCCAGCCCTCAGGATCTGCCAAGGGGCCTGGCTCAGGCCTGACAGAGCAGCACGCAGGACGGGGCGGTGGTGAGGGTGCGTGGGACCCGTGTGCTGTTATTCTTCCTTTATTCCGGTATTTTTATTGCCATTGGACACTTCTGGAGTCCCATGGAAGTGGAAATCATCAAACTGAGTAGCTCGCACAGCTGCTGCGCGCTCTCTGTGTGCCAGGCACTGCTCTGCGCCCCCTCGCTTTTTTGTTCCTTCCCAGCGTTCGCTCAGTCAGCCTCTGCTGCAGGCCTGTGAGGGGGGGCCGTCAGCGTCCCTGCCCGCCAGGTGGGAGAATGCAGCACAGAGAGGCGGGGCGATGTGCCAGAGGACGCACAGACAGACGCTGACAGGGCTGGGACCCCAAACCCAGGCAGTGTGTTTGGGGGAAGCTCGCGCACTGAGCCATTCACTCTGTTCCACCTCCTTCCATGGGGTCCCTTCTGTCCAGGACCTAGTGTCTCAAGTTTGTCATCTCCTTTGTCCTTCCAGGCTGATCTCTCTGTCCCTCTGGGAGACCCTCACCACGGAGACATTCCAAGAGGCCCTCCTGAGAGGTAGCAGGACCCACAGGGACGAGGAGGGGACTTGGGGATAAAGTCCAGTGTGACCGCCCCGCCCTCCTTTCTCTCCGGCAGCCCCGCCCAGCCGGGCCTGCAGCAAGCCCTGGTGCCTGTGGAGAAGAAGCTGGTCCCTGTCAGGAGGCCAGTCTGGGGCCAGCTCTGCCTGTGCCCCCTGCACCCCCAGCGACGCAGGTGAGCCCCAAGGCATCACCAGAGAGAAGGTGGTGGCTGGATCGGGCCGCCAAGGCTCCTCTGGGCCCCACCCTAAACACTGTCCTACCACCCCGCCAGGGCCACTCAGCACCCGCTGACCCCGGCCCCTGTCCTGGGCCTCCTGCTGCTGCTGCTGCTCTCCCTCCTGCTGCTGGGCCAGTCCCCGCCCCCCACCTGGCCCCACCTCCAGCTCTGCTACCTCCGGCCACCTCCCTTGTGAGCCAGGCCGGAGCAGTGTCTAGTTCGGTGAATTCCTCGGCTCGGTTTACTGTTATTCCTATCGTTGCGCCACGGTTATCTGAGATTACCCCGGGACTGGGACACGGATATAGTACTTCCGGATCCACATCCCTGTGTGGGGTCTTTCTGTGAAGTCTCTTGGTTTTTTACTGTTGGCAACTACATTTTTTCCAAAATTTTATTTATTAATGTTAGGGAGGAAAGGAAAGTGAGAGAAATATCAATTTGTTATTCCATTTATTTATGCATTCATTGGTTGGTTCTTGTATGTGCTGACTGGGAATTGAACCCACAACCTTGGTGTATGGGGATGACACTACCTGTCTGAACTACCTGGCCAGAGCAGCAACCACATTTCCTAACAGTACCAAAACATGCCCAATAACGGAGTCAGTGCTAGGGGGTTATATTCTCCACAAAACAATCCTGGAGAACAGCAGTGGGCCCTCCGCTCAGTCTCTGCAGCCTCGGAGCCAGCATGCACTGCTTCTCTGTGACCCTCCTGGCCCTTCCCTCGTGCCCAGGGGATGGAGGGCATTGGAACTTAATGTGTCATATCTTCAGGGAGAAGGGGGTGGGCAGGTCCATTCTTTTTTATTAAAAAAAAAAAAAAAAGGCAGTAGCCTCCCCAGAGCCAGCAGCAGACCTGTGTTTATGTCTTGTTGGCCAGACTGTGGGGCGGCGCCACCCGTAGCAGCAGGGGAGAGAGTGCCCCTCCCGGCAGAAAGAGGGAGAGAGACGTGCGCTAGGCCCACAGCACAGATGTCCGCTGCAGCCAACGGCCAGCAGGGAGTGGGCCGCTGTGCCATTTGCTCACTCCACAAACACTTAGTGAGCATCTATTTGCCACAGCTAGACCTTAAAAGATGACGCTGTAGCAAAACAGCCCTCCGGTGCCAGGCCGAGGAGTGTTCCTTTTCCCCAAGGGCTATGGGAGCTTTGGGAGGTTTTATTGCTTGTTTTTTATTTGCATTTTAATTGAGGTGTAACTTACATACAAATAAATGGACAAATTTTAAGTATCAGCTGGGTGAATTTTTGCATATGGGGGGAACAGAAAAATCCAAACTTATTTATAAAAGATTGTATATTTATTCGTACGTGTTTAAATTTCAGTCACCTCCAAAGTACTCTTCATTTGATGCAATACACCTATCAAGACATTTTTTCCACTGCTCAAAAGTTTTTGAACTCGTGAATTTTGATGCCTTTTAGTGCTTATGCCATTTTTTTTGTTTCACCTCTTCCACATCGGCAAAATGTTTCCCTTTGAGGACTTCTTTTATCCAGGGAAACCAAAAAAAGGCCACTTGGGGTAAGATTGGATGAATGGGGGGTGGGGCAGGAGGTCATGCCATTTTTTGGTCAAAAACTGCTGATCACTCCACGTGGTGTGGGCAGGTGCACTTGTAAATCACCCATCATGAAATGATCAAATGCACTGAAAATCTTCAGACAAAAAATTCACTGAAGCTGAATGCAGCCTCTCACAACAATACCATATGGTACACTGACACATGAGTTCCTGCAACACTCACCTGTACTACAAGAGGCCCAGCCTCCAGAAGATAACTCCATTTTGGGGGGCCTCCCACCTTACATGAATGCAGTCATGAAACTAAAACCCAACCCAGGTCAAGATATAGAACAGTCCCAGCACCACAGAGCCTTCCACGGGAGAGTTTTGTGCAAGGGAGGGGCAGAGTCCCACCTATATAAAGACAGATAGTGATAGAGGTAGTTGCAGGGTCTTCAGGAGCCCCCAAAAGGCACCTAACTCAGCCTGGGAGGCTAGAGATTTCTTCCCAGAGAAGTGACATCTGTGTTTCGTCTTGAAAGATGGCTAAGGCTGGTTACAGTGAGCAGGGGCTGAGGAGGATGTCACAGGGAGGAAACAGTATGTGTGAAGACCGTGGGTGGGAAGGAGCCTCTGTGTGGAGAGCCATAGGCAGCACCCTGTTGCTAGGATTTAAAAAAAAAAAAAATGTTGTGAAGCCAGGAAAAGATTCAAGTCTACAGAGTGGTGAAAAATAAGATAGAAGGGTGGGCAAGAGCCCACGAAAGGTTTTAAACACCAGCTTGAACTTTACTCCTAAGTGCCCAGGAAAGGGCTGTAAGTAGAAAAGGGACAGAATCAATTTGGAGTGGGAAAGAGACCTTCTGAGCCTGCAGAGGGGGGCGAATGATGGAGTGAGGCTGAGGCAGGAGGTGGGGAGAAGGCGGGGCCTGTGGTCCGGGTGGCAGAGGATGAGGTCGGAGCTGGGCCCCCGCGTGTGGGTGGAAAGAAGGGGAGGGTGAGGAGAGGCCGAGCAAGAAGGACAGAGTCGGCGACTGACAGGCTGTGGAGGGGGATGAAGAGAGAAAGCCAAGGACAGCACCTGACCCGGTGACTGGTAGACTGCGGAGCCATTGCCAAGATGAGTAACGAATGAGAATGGGCTCACTCTATTTGGGATAGAGTGAGTGTCAGGGTCCCAAGAGGTGGCTGGAGCCCTGAGCCCTGAGCCCTGAGGCGTCTGGGTGGTAGTAGCCATGGAGATCTAGGGAGGGAGTATGGGAAGGGTACAGGCCAAGACCCAGCTGCCAGGCCCTCCGGCTCGCAGCGCCTAGGAGAGTGCCTGGCGTGCTGTGCCTGCTCTTGAGACGTTTCTCCATCAGACTAGTGCAAAGGCTGAGACTTGGAAGTTGCATGGATTTGGGGTTCCAAGTATCCTTCTGTCCTTTGTTAGAGCTGGCAACTCAGGGAAATTACTCCTAACACTCAGAGTCTTGCATCTTTATTTGTAAAATTTGGCCAGCTCTGGATGATTTTGAGAAATACAGTTCGTTATTCAGTATTTCAACAATGTAGAAATGGGCCCACCCCACGGCCATAGGGGTCCACTTTCCGGAAGCGCAAATTGTGCATTTGTCAGACACCAGGAGCCCGCCCCGCCCTTCCCGCTGGCGGCCCCGCCCAGCTCCACCCTGTTGTCTATACCAATCAGAGCTTGATCCGCACGCGCGGCGCCAGAGCTCAAGGTTCAGAGCCCTCAGCGTCTAGTAGGGAGGAGGTTGCCATAGTCACCATTGAGGGGCAGGGCTGAAGGGCTGGCTGAGCGGGGGGGGGGAGAGAGAGAGAGAGAGAGAGAGAGAGAGAGAGAGAGAGAGAGAGAGATTCTTTCTGATTGGCTGCTTTCACTAGCCCAGGTGTCTCCCCCCCGCCCGCCCCCGCCCCCGCCCGCGCCCCCTGCCTCCAGAAGTCTGACTCCTGGTCCTCCCACTCCTCTTCCTGCCCCGTCCTGCCGCTCCGAGTCTCCCGCGAAAAACCCCCGAAGAAGCTGCTGGAGGCTGCTGCCAGAGAGGGGAAAACCCTTTTGTAACAAAAACGTTTGCTTCATGCTGGGCGCTGTGCTGATGTCATCTCATAATGTGCCTGGTTTGATCCTCAAATGAGGAAAAGGAAGCGCAGAGGTTCAGCCCTTTCCAATACCACACGACTAGGTTTGGGGAAATCTGGTCTTCAATGGCAGGTGCATCTCATATCAGAGTTCCTGGCCTCCCGACTGCGCCCAGAGAGAAGTCGAGATAAGAGAGCGGAAACGGCGAAATTTAGAGGAAACAGAGCTGGAAGAAAGTGAGACGGAGACCCAACGGAAGAAAAAAAGGAAGACACGAAGGAGTCAGGCGCGGGGCGGGGGGAGTTAAGAATAGAAGGAAGAGTTTTAGAGGCGACAAGAAGAGTGGAGAGAGGGGATTGAAGGGCGAGACGCCCGTGTAACCGGCGCTGGGCCCGCCCCCTACAAGCGCGCGCGCACACACACACGGAAGGAGGCGCAGTCCCAACGCACAGCAGGGTCTTTATTCACGTGCCCGCGGGCAGGCGCTCAGCGCGCGTCCAGCACCAGCAGCTTGTGCATGTACGAGTTCAGCCAGTGGCGGCGCTCCAGGGCCGCCAGCATCCGTGCGCGCTCCCGGAAGGCCGCGTCGTCCGCCAGCGCCAGGCTCCGCCGCGACACGCGGGTGGTCGGACGCTCCCAGACCGGGCTGGGGGAGCGGAGGCTGCGGGGAGACAGAGAGGGAGACGCGGTGACTGCGCGTGCGGGTTCGCCCGCCCGCTGCCGCTTGTCCTCGTGGCCTGACTCGAAGCCCAGTTTCCGCACCGTCTGTGGAGTGACTGGGGCTCTGTCCCTCTGTCTGTCTTTTTCTGTGCGGGAGTCTGTCCCTCTGTTCGCCAGGTTCGGAGCTCCTTGAGTTTGGAGACTCTGGGCCCTGGTCCGCCTCGGCACTCAGCGCACAGCCTGGCCCGCCCCAAGAACCCAATCATCGCCGTTCGAGGAACGAATCCGTCTCTGCTTTGACTCCTCTTAAGTCTCTCAGTGCCTTTTCAGAATTTTTTTTAATCCCTTTCTCTCGCCCATTCCGTGTCCCCCAGCATCTCTCCTCACCCTCGTCCCTGTCTTCTCTCTCAGTCTCTCTCCCCCTCGCTGAGTCTCTCTTCCCCTTTCTCTGGGGCCTTTTCGCACCTCGCTGAGTCCCCACCCCTTCCGGGGAACCCGGGGGCACCGCACGTACCTGAAGACCCCCGCGGGGGGCAGGGCGACGCCCGCGGCAGTACGGACGCCCCAGGGCACAAGCAGCAGGAGCAGCAGCAGCAGCCGCACCCGGGAGCTCCTGGGCACCTGGCGAGTCTCCATCACCTGTGGAGAGGAGGGAAGGGTTCCGTGAGACGCGTGTCCTGGCCCAGAACCTCGGAGTTTATACCCACCCCCGGCAGCCTGGTCGCAGGGTCCCCTACCGCGCAGTGGGCTCTGGCAGCGAGGCTGGCAGCCCCCTTATATCCCTTGCGCAGCCCCCGCAGCGGGCAGTGACGCAGACCAGGGGGCTAGGGGCCGGGCACGCGGGGTCAGCCTCCCCCCAGGCTCATTAGGAGCCGCCAGCTGTAATGAGGAGCAGAGGGTGGGGGCCCCCGCCGCTGCCTTGGCGGCAACCAACTAATTGGGACCAGGATGTGGGACCTCAGGAACAGCGGGAGGGGGGAGAGACAGACAGACAGAGAGGTGGACACGGGGGGTGTGTCAGAGGGATAAAAATAGAGACCGGCAGAGGGACCATCAGAGCAGAAGCCAGAGACACAGAGAGAGAGAGAAAGGGACTGGAAAAGCCACAGTGGAGGGACTAATGGGGAGAAGCAGAGACACAAAGAGATGAAGTAACCATGAGAAGGAAGGACAGAAACAGAGTGACAGAGGAGAGAAAAGAGGAAGAAAGGAAGGGAGAGAGAAGAAAGAAGGGAATGGACAAAGAGGGCCAGCGAGAGATGAGGGGAAAGGCTCTCAGGGAGAGGGAAGGAAATGAAGGGTAGCCAGCCCGGGCAGAGATGCCCTGAGATAAACCCCGGCGGGGAGAGAGCCAGAAAGACAGTGTGAGACAGGGAAGGGACAAAGGCAGGAGGAGACAAAGGGTAGGTGTGGTGGGGGGTGTGAAGGCAGGGAAAGTGTCGGGAGAAATCAGGAAAGTCTGAGAGAGCTGGCGAAGAGGGAAAGAGAGACTGGACCGTGCGCTGCCGTGCGGAAGTGCCTAACCCTTCTCGGGTAGGGGTTTGGGGGTGTGATGAAGATGAGCCCCAGTCCACATCCACACTGGCTCTTAAGGGGGTGCATTCTACACAGCGGGGAGGTGGGCAAAGGCTGGGAAGCCCCAGAGACAGTAGCAATCTGGCAAGACTCCTAGTTCCCCAGCAAGGAGAGGAACGTGGCCTGCACCGGGCTCCTGGGTTTAGGAATGCGGGGGACAGGGAACAGACTCCTGGATTCTGGTGGAGCAGGGGCCTGGGGACCTATATTTCTGGATCTGAGGAGAAGGGACTGAGGGGCTTGACTCCTGGTGCTTGATGTAGGAGGGCGCCAGGGAGCTGGGCTCAGGCTGGGTGCCAGAGAGGAAGGAGCCCTGCTTCCAAAGGGAAAAGAGCTTAGTTGGGCCACATCCCTCCACCAAAGGACCCAGTCTCTATCTCCCTTCCCCGTTCCAGAGACAATGTCTTTTATCCCTTTAAGAGCCCAAGCTTGTCGCTAGGCTCCCAAGGTCCCCAGGGAGGGGGTCAGGTGCATCACCCGGGCACCTGGGACCCAACCTCCTGCTGCCCCACCCAGAGCTATTCTGCAGCACTCGCTGATCTCTGCACCCAGCTCTGCTCCCTGCTGTTATCTTGGACCCCACTAACCAGGTAGGAGACCCCAGGGCCCCACGTGACCTTGTCCCATCCAGGTGTCTGCCACACCTACCTCCGCCTGACCACAGACCTCGGCACCTCTGCCCCAGACCAGCACCCGAGACCCTGAGACCTAAACTCCGTCCTCCATAAACAGGAAGACCGGAGTCCCCCACAACGCTCCCCCTGCAGGCTGAGGAATCCAGACCCTACACCCCACCTCTGGAAGCCCCGACTCACAGTTCCCAGCCTCCTCAGTCTCCTAACTCAGAACCCAAGGGTTCGAGACTTCCATTTCCTTTCTCCCCTGTATTCCAGCCCCCCCCCCAAGCTTGGCTCCCTCAAATTTCTAGGCATCTGAACCTTCAGTTTCTCCTCTCTAAAGGACCAGGAATTTAGACCCACAGTCCCCTCCACCCTCTGGGAACCGAGAGTCTAAACCCGCAGGAGCCTCCTTGAGCAGGACCCAGGAGTCTCCTCCTCCCTCACATCCAGCACTTCAGACCCCCAGCCCCCGGGCGCTCCTTCCGATCCCCCTCCAGCATAACAACTGTTGAGTCAAGAGGTCCCAGGGGCCCCGGGAGAGGAAGGGATCCCGTGTCCGTTCCGAGATCTACATCCTTCGAAATCGAAGTTGAGGAGATCTGGGGACTTTGAGAGGTGTCATTTTCCCCCCAAATTTTCTGGGATGCCCTTGGGGAAACAGGTAAGGAAATTAACTACGAATCCCAAGAAGCCGCGCGCCTCAGTGTCCCTTAGCTACGGCGGCCAAAGCCCCAGCCTTCAGGCACTTGCAGCTGGGTTCTCCCGCTTTCCCCGGTGCCGAGCGGGGCGGGGACTGTGGTCCACCCGGGGACCGCTGGGCGAGGCCTTCGAGCGTGGGCGTGGCCTCGGGGAGTGGGCAGGGACTCCCGGGCAACTTCCTGCCTTAACCCTTTTTTTCCCCTCTCCCCCGCAACTATAGGCGTCTTCCAGAGCAATGAAACCCTTCAGCCCCATCCCCTTCCTCTTCGTCTTCCTCCTCGCGGAGCTGGGTTCCAAGGCCGCACCTTCGGTCTCACCGACTGTGAGCGCCGACTTCCCAAGGACGGGCCATCCCTCAGAAACCTCCCCTCCAGCTTCTGAAAATTCCACTCTCTACCATCCTAACCCAGAATCCCCTGGGGTTGCTTCTCCTGAGCCCTCCAAGACGCCTTATGCGTTTTCCCCTGAGCCCTCTCCCCGCGACTTTACTGAGACTCCCGACCCTGGCCTTCGAGAACCCCCCCACCCAGGATCTCTGGAGATCCCCAAATCTAACTCACTCAACACCTCTATATCAGAACCCCTGGAGACCCCCCAAATTAACTCCTCCCAAATGACACATCCGGGACCTTCTGAGACCCCCACACTGGGCCCGACTGAAATTCCACACCCGGATTCCCCTGAGACCCCTAAATCTAATTCCTCCAAAACTTCTCACCCAGCATCTCCTGGGACCCCGAATCCTGACCCTCCCCAAACTCCACGCCAAGGATTCCCAGGGGTTCCCAAACTTAACTCCACTGAAATCTTACATGCAGAAGCCCCTGATCCTGACCCCACCAAAACCTTTCACCCTGAAACTTCAGAAACTTATGACCCCAACACCACTGCACCCCCACACTCTGAACTCCTTCAGACTCTTGTCCCTGGCCCTGTCAGTACCCTGCTCCCAGAATCCCACATAACCCACCACTCTGGTCCCACTGAAACCCCCCAATCAAAACTGCCCGCACTCCACTACCAAGATATAACAGAGATCCCCATGGAATCTGACCCTGGAATTTCCCCCAGTCTCCACCAAGAAACGCCTGCACCCGTCAAGGCCCAAGCTACTGCCCTAAATGAGCTGTCCCTGAATATCGGACCAGAAACACTTGCAGCCACCCAGCCCAACTCCCTTAAATTGCCCGCCGCAGATTTCCCTGGGACCGCTGAGCCCATGGCCTCCCAGTACCCTAGTCCCAAAGGGCCAGATGCCCCTCCTCCCTCCTCCCGGAGTGCGGACGCCCCTGCTCCTCCAGGGTCCCGCAGTCAGCCGGCCCCCGCCACTCTGCGGGCCCCCCAGCGGCGCAGCCGAGGTGAGAGGGTCAACACTATCATCGTGGTGGAACGAGTGGAGGAGACCGGTGAGGGCCTAGGACCCGGATCCCCGGGTCTGTGGGAGGAGGGCGCTGGGAGTTTAGATTGCTTATTCCCTGGCTCCTTCCTTCAGGCGTGACCCTGGTGGGGCGCCCCCGGGGCGCGGCAGGCGGCGCCCTCTGCCTTTTCTTGGCCGGGACCGGGCTGCTAATCGGCGTTTTCCTGCTGCTCTGGTGTCTCTACCGCCGGGGGGCTCGACAGCGGTCCTTCGCACATCATCGGCTTCCAAACGACGGAGATGAGCCGGGTGAGTGTCCCTTACAGCGCCCTGCCCTGAATGCCTGCCCCTTTTCTTAACCTGCTCTCTCGTGGCACTTTAGGGCGCCCCGCCAAGAAGTTCAGGTTCCCCCATCCAAAGTCAACAGAAGCCCTGACCCCTCTATAGCCAGGTCTTGCCCCCCAATTCTCAGAAAATTCTCTCACACACACACACGCACACACATCCAGTGCCTCCCACAGACCAGCTGGGTGCGACTGGGCTGTAGGCTCGGAGCCACCGGTCCCTGCAGGCCCCGCCCCTTCCCGTCCTGGAGCCCTGCGATCCCCGCCCACTCCACTTCAGGCCCCGCCCCTTCACCTCCAGGAGCCCTGCGATCCCCGCCCACTCCACGTCAGGCCCCGCCCCTTCACCTCCTGGGGCCCTGCGATCCCCGCCCCTGACGCGTGAGCACCACGCCCCCTCGGCTGCTCCGGGGCCCTAGCCCTTTGATTAGAAAACCCAGGTCCGACGGGACGTCAGCATCCTCTCTCTCTCCCGTCTTCTCTTTGGCCGGCGGTGCAGCAGTGGGGGCAGGCCCCTTGTCAGCCTGGGAATGACCTCGCCCCTTTGCTCCCGTAGTTATGCATTTGGACCCTCCGAAGGAGCCCTACGATCTCTACTTTTATGCGCCGGACGCTTGGGTCCCTTCCCACATCGCCACCAAGCAGCCGCCGCCCACTCCTCCGCTGCCGCCCAAGCTGCCCCCGCCGCCCCGCGGGGGCCGCCCCCAGCGTCTGGAGCCGCTGTCCCCCGCCACGCTCCCCAACAACTTTGCGTGAGCCCCGCCGGGTCCCACAGATCCTATCCTCCTGGCATGCTTTTTGCTTCATAGCGGTCCTCTCAGACAGAGTCCAATACAGAAATGCTTTCGCTGTGACCGGAGAACACCGGCTGAGGCCGAATAAATCACGCCTTCCCCCCGGTAGACACCTCCTCTGGCCTGAGTCCTGGAGGAGGAGGGTGGCAGGGGTCCTAGAATACCGGGCCTGCAGGGGGGGTACTGAGGGCTGGGAAGCGTGGGCCTGAGGGAGGAGGGGCCGGGCCGGGGGGCGGGGCCGAAGCGCCTGTGACTGCCACGCCTCTGACCCAATGAGGACGACCAGGTGTGTACACCAAAGCATTTTATTGGGAGTGGGGCAGGGCAGGATTTACAGTCACAGCGACGGAGACACAGAGACACACCCTGCCCCGGGAAAAACACCCCTTACCCCAGCCCCGTTCCCTTTCCTGGGATTCTGAGACTTCGCCTACCTACGTTCCCCAAATTCTCAGCTGCAAGAGAGGAGTCTGGGAGGGACAGTCTCCCAGATTTTGAGTCATTTAGCCCCTGAGGGACACAACAAATGGCCACTGAGAAGATACGGGTAGTTTGGAACCACCCAGGAGAATAAAGTGCAAGGAAGTGGGGGGAAGAGGGACACCTTGAAACCACCATGGGGAAGTTCAATGCTGGTGGCTTCAAACCATTGATGAACTTGAGCAGCCACTATGGAGACCTGAAGAAAACTGTGTCAGAAAAAGTGCATCGGGGTGGAGTGAGGCATACTGATAAAACCGCCATTTTGGTTGTTTCCCTAGAAATTGTGCGAAGCTAGGGAGGTCTTGGGGAATTTGGTGTTTCAGCAGTTCTGCTGGTGGAGGGAGGAGTGAAGAGGTTGGGGAAGGTGTCTTGAAACTGCCATTTTCCCTCGGAAACGCTGGTGAGAATCAATCTCTAAAGTGGTGAGGGTGGGTGATCAATCAAACCAATCTGGAAGGTGCAGGATAGAGTTAGGAGAGATCTGAAACTTCTAGAGGGAGACCTTGAGTTTTTCTGAAAGGAGAGGGGGCTGAGTAATCTCAGGGTCCCTGGGGTTGAAGGAACAGGGGGAGGTGCCTCAAAACCACGAGAAAGAGTGAGAGATTGAACTGTCCATTCAAATAAAACCCTGAAAGGAGAGATTTGAAACCACTGAGGCAGAACAAGTGGAGAAGGGAACCTTTAGGGGGATCTGGGTATCCTTGAAACCGCCGGTCTGCAGCTTCACTACCCCTGAGAGGCCATCGGGAAAGGAGAGAGATCTGACAGCACTAGGAACAAGGGCGAGTGCTTCTTGGGCCTGAGGCAGGGCAGAGAGGACTGGGGTTCCTTGACACTGCCACTCAGCCCCGAGATGTGTGGAGTGGAGGTTCTGGAAACTGCCATTCAGTGGGAGGCACGTGGTCAGTAGTCCCGCACAGGGGGTGGGGGTCTTGGGGGCTGAATTGTGCTGTGTGTGGCCCCATAGGAGGGAGGGGGAGCAGGGGGCGCCCCGGGGGGCTCAGCTTCATCCTCCATTTCGCTTTCATCACTGCCAGCCAGCTGGTCATGGCCCACAAAGCCACACTTCTCTTCGCTCATCTCCTCAGGCTCTGCCCACGGCTGCTTCTCTCCAGAAGCGAAGACCCCATAGAAGATAACACCTCCGTAGTGCACCAGAGAGGCAATTAGGAATACATACTGCCACTCCTCCCGAGTCTGTGTGGGGACAAAGAAGGAGATGAGGCTGGAGGTCAGAGAAAGAGGAGTCGATGTGAGAACTTGAGAGGGGGAGGGGAGGCCCCGAGAAAGGGAGACAGATCCAGAGAGAAGCTGAAAGGCAGCTAGAGAGGGCAGGGGCAGGGCCCGGGGTCGGGGGGTGCCCTGCATCAAGGAGGTGCCACGCACGGAGGTGGAGAGCGAGCAGGTCAGGGCACGTGCACCAACCTTGTGCTTGGTCATGGCACCCACGATGATGGGGCACACCATGCCCGACAACGTGCCCACGCCGTTGGAGATGCCCATGAGGATGCTGGCATAGCGCGGGGCGATGTCCAGGTGGTTCACGTTGAACCCTGGCAAGGTGAACCAGGAGGCATCACACCTGAATCTCCCTCCAGGGACTCCTGCTCCATCCCTTCCCCCACTCCTTCCTCCCCCCTCCCTGGGGCTCTTTCTAGCCCATCTTTGGCATGGCTGGGAGGTCCCCTTCCTGAGCCGGGAAATTCCCCACAACGCTGTCCAGATTCCCACAAGCTGCGGATTCGCGGTTCTCACCAGAGATGGCGAAGCCGCTGAAGCCCACCGCGAGGACCAGGAAGGAGATGGCCACGCCCTTGGAGTGCGAGTAGCCGACCACCAGCAGCAGCGTGGCTTCCATGCCGAAGCCTGCAGAGGGCCCCCTCATCTGAGCGCCAGCCGCCCCTCACCCTCTCTCCAGGCCGAATATCGCCCCTGCCCGCCTCTACCTACTCCATCCCTATCCCTGGCTTTGTCCCTCATTCCACCAGCGCCAGCCCTAAGCCTGGCCCTGGACCACCCACCCACACGGGCTCCAGCGCCCCAGCTGGGCCCTCCATGGCCCCGCCCCCGAATGGGCCATTCCCTGAAGACTCAGGGTTCCAGTCCCACCCGTGCACCTTCACATCTTCCGTCCCTGTCCACACTCCCTTAGGCGGTACAACCGCCCAGACCCCACTCATAGCCGCTGTTCATCACACTTAGCATCCATTCCGCCCTGTCCCCGTGTGGGCCCAGCTTGCAGACCCAATTAGGGCTTGCCTCTGCTCCACCTGCAGAGTCACACAAAATCCCCGCCCTGCGCCAACGCCTAAGACTGCCACCTGAGATTCTGTTCCATCCAGGCCCGGCCTCACCGTGACCCCGCCTTTCTTGGACACACCCACCCCCGGGTCACGCCTCTGAGCCCACTCCATTCTCCCGCAGCCTCGCCACTTGGACGCGCCCCACCGCGCTCTGCCCGGCACAGTCCCAGACCAGGTCTAGGCCCCGCCCCACTCACCCCCGCAGTTCATCAGTTTGCGCACGTTCGTGGTGGACATGATACGGCGGCTTCTGAGGAAGTCAGCGATCTGGCCGCCGATGGGCACGATGATGGTCATGACCAGGTGGGGTAACGCTGACACCAGGCCCACCTGCGGCGGATAGAAGTACAGGGCAGGGGTTCAGGAGCCTCCGGCCGGGAGGCAGGCGTCTTCGCCCGGTTCCTGCACCATTCGCTCCTCCCTGTTCCTCCTTCCAACCCCTTGGGACCCAGGCCCCACTCCATCTGCCCTGCGCGCCCCTGCCCTCCCCACTAGGGCCAACCTTGCTGATCTCAAAACCGAACACTTCTTCGAAGTAGGCAGGCTGGGAAATCAGGAGCAGGTAGAACGTCCAGCTGCGGCAGAAGTTGGCCACGATGATGGCGTAGACTGGCATGGACGTGAAGAAGCGCCTCCAGGGTGTGTTAAACTTCTGTGAGGGAGGAGACGAGGGGCCTCTAAGACAGAACCCAGGGCTGCGCGCTCTCCAGGTCCCTTCAGGGACCTCACTAGAGTCCCGCGGAGACCCTGGTTTCCCGGCTTAACTAAAACCTCCAAGTACCCCGGAACGTCAGCCGGCTCAACCAGGTATGTCCCTGCGGGAGCCTGGCATCCACGCCTCTGATTCTTCAGGAATGCAGCGCTGCGGACGCTACAGTGGCCCCTCAGTTTCGCAGGTGTTGGGACTCGACGATGACCCTCAGGGACCCACAAATGTGGGCCCAGGAATCTCCTTTCAGTCAGGACTCCTAAATCTAGCCTCACGCACCCCCAAGTCTAGGTAAAACCCCCACATTCTAATCCCGCCTCTGCCGGTTTAACCACGCGCCAGACTGGTTCCCACCCACCTGGCGACCTAGGCCAGCCCTCAGCACCTGCTAATTGGTCCTCCCCCGGCTTTAACCCCGCCTCCTAGGTTCTAGCCCCGCCCACGTGGCTGTGCTCTTCGGTCTCCTCTGAGTCTACTAGAAACAACCACGATGGTTCGAAGCCCCCTTGTCTCCTCCTAGCCTGGACTTCTCTCCTCGCCCCACAGCGACCCCGCCCCGCAGGCTTGGGCCCAGACCGTGACGGGGTTCATGAGTTTGGCGCTCTCGCCGATGGCTTCTTCGATGTACTTGCGCTCCTCCTCCGAAATGCTGGGGTGCTGTGCGGGGGACTCATAAGAGACGATCAGCCAGAACAGGTACCAGAAGATCCCAAAGCTGCCTGAGAGGGTCAGGAGGGGGATGGAAGCGAGGTGACGACCGGCCTCGCTCCGCCCCTGTGCCACCCGGACCCAGGCGTCTGGGCCCCTCACCGTAGACGTAGAACACAGAGCTCCATCCTGAGTACTGCACCAGCACCCCGGCGAGAGGCATGGCGACCACCGCCCCAGCATAGGAACCTGAGGGGGTAATGCAGGGGAGAGAACAGGCCTATCTACACTCAGGGTCCAGGAGCGCGGACCCCCCGCCCTGTCTTTCCGGATCACAGAAGCCACAGCCCCTCCTCCCACAGACACCTCGGGCCGGGTGCCCAACCCCCTCTCTTCCCAGACCCACAATTCTAGATCCCAACCCCCGTCTCTCACCGCAAAAGGCTGTAGTCGCCAGGCGACTCCGCTCTAAGGGAGGGGCCCATTTGCTCCAGATCCCATGGCAGGCGGGGTACGTGACCCCCTGGGGAGAAGAAAGCCAAAGTCAACGAGAAGAGGTGGGGTCAGACGGGGGCGGGATCATATGGGGTGGGGCTTTACCTCTACCAAGCCCTGCAGGATCCTCACGAAGATGACACAACCGTAGTGGACTCGGGCAGCCGAGGGGATCAACATGTTTAGCGTGGATGTAGCAACAATAGCAAAGCCGAAAACCCTGATGGGAAGAGTTCATGATCCGACAAAAGGGTTCAGCTATCCCACCATGCCTACGATTCTGCTCTTTCTGGCACAACAGAACCCGGTTTCCCAGAACCCCAGGTCCCACCTTCCACAAGCATAAGCCCCCCCTCTCTCTAAGACCCCGCCCCCTAGGGCCTTCCCACTTTCCCAGAGTCAGCCCCCAAGTGCCAGGCCTCTAACTCCAGCCACGCAACTGTACCCCGCGCCCACTTTGAGCTCACCCTCACCCCCATACCTGTTGGCTGCGAATTTTTGGCAGATAAATCCCCCTGGAATTTGGGTGACAATGTAGCCCCAGAAAAAGGAGCCGTGTATGAGCCCAACAGTCTCTGGATCCCAGTTGAACTGAGCTTTCTGTGGGCCAAAAGACACATCAAACCAGCCTTGTGCCTCAGTCTCTGCCCCTCCACCAATCAGCACCCAGACTTAGCTCCTTGGGCAATCAACAACAAGGATCCTCTCTCAAACATCTGCCTATCAGAGCTAAGGCCCCTTTCCGTCCTTCCCAAACTAGCTTTCTCCAGGTTGCTAGGGCCAGTATTATCTTAGCAACAAGGTCTGCCGCTGCCTAGACGCCACACTCTGCTGTTTCCCTGCCTCGGTGCCCCTTCTCTGACTGTCTAGGGGCCCCCATAAGGGGTGGAAATGCTTTCCCTACTTCTAACGAACTTAAGAACGGTTTGCAGAGTAACCTGGAGACAAGAAGTAGCTGAAGAAGCGGACCTGACTGGAAGGGAGCTAGAGCGGGAGTGGGCCCCAGTCATAATCAAAACTTTATTTTCTGAGAAAGAGAGAGGCACGGCCCACGCTGAGATTAATATAGGAAGAGGCCCTCGCCAGGTAGCTCAGTCAGCTAGAGTGCATTTCAGATAGCCAAGGCTGTGGGTTCCACCCCGGGTCAGGGCACATACAAAAATCAACCAATCAATGCATAAATAAGTGGAACAACAGCTCAATGTTTCTCTCTCTCTCTCTCTCTCTCTCTCTCTCTCTAAGAAAATCAATAAACATTTTTTTTAAAATTAGGCAGAGCCCTGGGTGGTGTGGCTCAGTGGACTGAGCGTCAGCCTGCGTACAGAAGGGTCGCAGGTTTGCTTCCCAGTCAGAGCACAAGCCAGGGCTGCGGGTCAGGTCCTCCACTGGGGGCGTGTGAGAGGTAGCTGATGCTTCCCTTGCATATCGATGTTTCCCTCTCTCCCTCCCTTCCCTTCTCTTAAAAAATAAAAATAAAATCTTTTTAAAAATAGGGAGAAAATCTGATGTGAGGCGGGATTTGGGTAACGGCCACAGCAGACGAAGTAGGATTTAGCAGCGGCGAAGCTTCAGAAAAGCCAGGATTAAAATTCAGTGGGGAGCCTGTGACGGGACTGGAATAAAGTAGATGGGACACTGGGACAGGTGTAGGACACAGAGGGAGCAAAAGTTGCCGGGAGGTCCAAAATGGAGAAGGGACAACAGAGAAGGAAACTGATTCGGGGGCAGAGTCTACATTTTAAAATTAGGGACTTGAAAACAATAGGGGCGGGGCTTGTGAAAGAACGATCCCTGAGGCACTAGCAGAATTGAAGGGGCGGTGCAAGTGGGCGGGGCCGCTTAGGGGTCCACTGGGAGGGGGCGTGGCCTGGTTTACGCGCGGTCGAGCGTGACGTCATTAGGGCGTGGCAGTCCCGCGGCTCGGACCCTGAGCTACCTGCACCACCAGGTGGCCCCCGCGGTGGGTCGTGCTGTTGTTGACCATGGAGACGATGGCCACGCCCAGGTTGCAGCGGATGCCAAAACTGATGCAGAATCCCAGACCGCTCATGATGGCGATAATGTAGCGGCGAGGGAGGCCGAAGCAGGTGCAGTCCACCACCGGCGGGTCCCGAGTCTGCGTCGTGACGGGGCGCCCGTCAGCACTCAGCTCCAGAGTCTCTGCACCTTCCTGCCGCTTCTCCAGAAGGCTGCGGGGCAGCAAGAGTCAAGGACTCGGACGTCCAGGGCCCAGCCCCCTCCTCCCTGTGACACAGGAGTCCAGGGCAAAACCTCCTGCTTGAAAAAGACCCAGGATTCTACCTAAGCCCATATTCCCTCCTTCCTTCTCCAGGAGTCCATCCCTTTCTTGCCTCAGGACCTAGGAATCCCCCCTCTCCATCTCCCTCAGATCAGGAATGCCGCACCCCCAGCCTCCTTCGCCACCGCCCCAGCCTCAGGTTCTGAGGTCCTCGATTCCCTTCTCTCGCAACCCTGTCATCTCTCAACTCAGGGGTTTTAGACCCCACACTACCCTTTGTCATCCAAAAGCCTCCAGCCCGCACTCCCCACCCCAAGGACCAGAGACTCTCTCTAGCCCCCTCCCTCAGATATGAGTCTATTTGAGCAAGCAAAAGGCGCTAAGGAGATGCTTCAGCAAAGGTGTCAAAAGAACAGATGCTTCTCAGCCACGTCTGCTATATATACCGACGCCCCTCCTCCCTGGCCCCCTGGGGCGTGCCCTTCCCTGCTTCCAGGCCCCAGGTGTGGGGCTGACATCCAGCTGATTCCATTCAGCCACCAGAAGCACATTCCTAGGGACTCTGGGGTGGGGCGTTGTCCAGGGCCCTGGAATCTGGCCGCCCAGCCGGGCATCCCTGGGGAACCTTGAGTCCAGGCTGTCAGCCTCAGGGATAGGGAGGAGGGCTGGCGGGTGGTGTCCTGGCAAGGGACAGATGGCCCTGGTAGGGGGATTGGCTCAGTCCCCAGCGAGGCTCTCGCCCCCGCCTGTTCTGGATCAGGGATTGAGTCTGTGATGACGGATGGGATACTTGGAAGGCCAACATACACCCAGAGAGAGGCTGCAGGGAGAGAGGTCCAGAGGCGTGGAGAGACCCGAAAGGAGAGTGAGGCGGGGGAGAGGCCGAGGTGAAGAGGGTCAGAGACACAGAAGGAAGAGAGAGATCCAATGAGAAGGGGACAGAGACCCAGAGAGGCAAGAAGAGAGTAAAATAGGGACAGAGGCCCCAGGAGAAGGGGGAACAGGACAGTGACCCGGAGAAGGTGGGGACAGAGATCCAAAGACAGGGGACAGAAACCTGGGAGAGAGGACATAGATACAGAGACGCAGAGCACTGAAAGATAAAGAGACTAGGAGACCAAGGAGACAGGCTGGGGACGTGATTTGTGAGGTGCGGCTCCCTTCTGAGGTGGGGAAGCAGCCAGAGGATCGGGCTGGATCCCAGGAAGGGGCTAGAACAGATGGAGGCGAGGGAGACTGGGACGGGGGAGGAAAGAACAGCCAGACGGTCTGGGGGGAGGCGGTGGAAGAGATGAGAGAACACAGTCACCCTCCCCACCCTAGAACTTAAGAAGGAGGGAGAAACCTTAAGAAACAGGATGAGGTGGGGGGAGTGGGGAAGTCGACTGAACCTAGAAGGATGAGAAATGAGACCTTGAGAGAGAGGAACAGGGAGCCAGAGAGAGAGGGACAGAAGCCCCCAGAATGACTAGTATGGGGTGGTAGAGACTGCCCCTCCCACCGGAATATGTCAGCCAATGAGATTAGACTTTGACCCAGGTTGAAATCAGATGCTATTTGACCCTGAAACTCAAGATGTGGTTGCAGCCTGCAGTTAGCCAAAATAAAAATGTCTCAATCTCCGGATCTCTCTCTCTGCTCCTCTCTGGTTCTCCGTCCACTCTCCCAGGTCTCTGTCCCCTTATGTCTCCTTGTTTCTCCCTTCTCTTCCCATTGCACAACTAAGGAAACCAAGGCTCAGGGAATGAAAGTGGCAATGCCCAAGGTCACCCACCAGAAGAGTGATGGGACCCGCTCACCTCCTGGGGCCAGCCCCGCCCCGCCCCAAGGCCTGGCACTGTGAGAAGAGGTACTTTGGCTCCTCCGTTCCCCATCCCCCCACCCCCGTGTCCTTGTCCCAAGTCGCCTAGTTTACCGTCTGTTTCCTGGCCTGAGGGAGTTCTCCACCCACTCGAGCATCACTCATCTCTAGGAAAATCTGCAGCCTCCACCCCAGGTTGGGGAGAGGCTGATGGGGGGGGGGGGTTTGAATGACGCCACTTGCGCTCAGCCTCCAATTTCCCCCTCTTCTTGGATTGAGCCTCAGTTTCCCCAGCTTGATCTGGAGGAGTCAAGGGAATCAGGGTGTTGAGTCCCGGATTCCATTGCACCTCCACCTGTCTCCAGTCATCACTGTGAACCCCAGGATTCAGACACAATGCTCTTTTCCACTCAGCCTCCTAGGTGGCTGTCCTGGTGGGGGCCTGGAGCTCTGTGGTCTCTAGGGACCCGGGAGGCAGCTCCGAGAGGGGCGAGTAGGGCACAGAGAGACCGAGAGAAACCCAGACACAGAAGAGCAGCTGAGAACCAGAGGCTGAGGGAGGGGGCCTAAGGAACACAATCCTCCCGCACTGCCCCCCACCCCAGCCCCCTTCGTGAGCACGTCTCTCTCTGTCTCCTGACTTCTCACTGGTGTATTTTGAGAAACTCGTGAAAGGAGGTGAGAAAAAGGGTGGGGAGGGGCTGGGAGATCGGGATAAGCAGGGGTGAGGTTATCTCAGCTTCCCCGCCACCTCCCCGTCACTGTGCCACCCACCTGCCCCCTCCCTGCTGTCCAGCCTTATTTCCACCTCTCCTGTTACTAGGGGGTGGGGTAACGGGGGAGCTAGGAGGTGATCTGCAGCAAGCAGGACTAGCATTAGACTTAGAGAAGGACTCGCGTGGCCTAGTGAGATGGATGGACGGTCAACTTAAGTTGGGGTCGGGGCTGTGGGCCACCCGGACGGGGTCTGAGAGAATGGCGGCAGGGACTGATCAGGTTATCTCCTACGCGCACTGTGGCCAGATATTTTTAGGCCTCTTCGAAGATGAGTAATTTCTCTGACTTGCAGCCAAGGCTGGGGTTGGGGGTGAAAGACTGGGGGGAGGTGTCCAAACTGCCCTGAGGACACCCAGGTCATGGGGGTCATCTCCCTGGAAGTCCCTCTTAGCTCTAGCTTACATCCTTTGGGAGGCCACATTTTTGACCTGCAACTCCCTTCTCCCTCAGATACCCAGAACCCCCTGGCTTCTTCCTCCCAGCTTAACTCTCCTCAAGGACAAGAACCCATGGGCCCCAATCCGCTTTAGCTTCAGATTAAACGCTCTGAGTAACGGAAACTGAGAAACAGTGATGGAGAGACCCAGGGTGGGGGGATGAACACCCAAAGAGAGAGGACAGAGACCCAAAAGGAGAGAGTCAGAGACCCCGAAAAAGGGGGACCGAGACCCCAACAGAGGGGTTGGTAGCAATTTAGTGAGAGCAATGGCCAGAGAATCGGAGAGAGAACAGAGACTGAGAAAAGGGGGAAGAGAGACCCAGAGGAAGGGGTGCAGAGGTCCAGAGAAAGGACGCAGAGAGAAGACAGGTGAACAGAGTCCCAGAAGTGGGACAGGGCTTCGGCGACCCAGGGAGAGGGGAACACACGGTCCCAGAGATAAGGGTAGGAGCCTGGAGCGGGGAGGGGGGAAGAAAAATAAACGAGGTGCTGAGCAAGATCGAACCAGGGACAGCGGCGCCGTCGGAGGCGGAGGAAGAACCTGGGCAGATGGGTGGACCCCCTCCATCCACTGGTATTACCGCCCGTCCGTCTGTCGGTCTGCGCCCGGGTGGGCATGAGCGTCTTCCTCGGACCCTCGCCCGCTTCCCCGCCCAGGACCCCCACCTCGCTCACCGGTGCAGCCTCCCGAGGGCGCGACCCGCCAGCTTCCGAAACTCCTCCTTGCGGAACTCCATGGTGGGGGCTGCCCCTGCGGCCGGTGCGCCCCCAGGGATCCCCCCGCCCGCGGGCCCGGGCGGCCGCGTCCGGGTTCCCGGGGTCCGCCCCGGCCCGGCCGGCCCCGCAGCTCCGCTCGGGGGGAAGGAGGCTGCGAGTGCGGGCTGCCTGGGGGCTGTCACCGAACCCAGCGTCGGGGGCGGGGCGGGGGAGAGGTCCCACCCACCTCGCTAGACCCCGCCCCTTGCATTACGGTCCGGCCCTCCCTTGGCAGCCCACTCATCCCGGTCTGCCCCCATCCTTTCATTTCTAGACCACACCTCTGGGGTCTGACTGTACTCCTGAGCGGCAGCGCCTCGATCCTGTCCGTTCCCCGGAGTTAGCCGCCTTCATCCTATTTCCCCCAGCTCCTTCTATCCCACGTTTTCTCTTCCCAATCTGAGATTCGCCACCTCCCCACTTCGGTTCCCCTAATTTCATCCCCGCATTTCCGTCTTGCTCTGAGTCTCCTTCGGCATCCCACCCTCTCAGTCTTATCCCTCCTCATTTCTGCGCCCTCCAGTTCCACATCTCGCCCCCGAATTCCCTCCCCGTCCCGCGTCCTCAGCCCCGGTTCCAACCTCCTCCTTCAGAAGGTTCTTTTCTTACTCGGGGAATCCTTTCCCCATCTCCATTCATCCACTGTCCCCTCTAGTTCTTCCCCCATCCAGTTTCTTCCTCTTTGACTTCCATCCATTTGTTTTCATCTTTTTTCCCCTTTAGAATTCCATCCCCTTTCTGTTTCCCCTTGGGACACAACCCTTTCCCAGTTCCTTGGTCCCCAATTTCTTCACTGTGCATAGACTGAGTTCCAACCCCGACGGTTCTACTGCTCCCTTCAGTCGCCAATTTTGACCCGGACAGTTTCGTCGCCTCCCGGGGAACTGTCCACTCTCTCAGGTCTGTCTCCACCCCCTGAGTTGTTCCTACCCCGAGTTCTATTCCCACCCGCCGAGTTGCGTGCTTTTCCTCTGGGGACCTGTCCCCGCCCCTCAATTTTTACTCCACCCCTGAATTCCAGCCCCGCCCCCCGGGGTTGAACTCGGACGTTTCCAGTCTGCTCTGCTCCTTTCTCTCCAGGCTGGCCCCTCACTCCGAGGCTGAGTCCTTCTCCATCCAGATCCAGGCCCCAGGAGGGCGCCCTTTTCACCACCGCCTCTCTGCGTCGGGCCGCAAATGCATTTGGGATTAAATTTTCATGATGTGGCACAGGCCCGCCAGGGGGTGGGGGGAGCATACGGAGAGGCGGACGGGCGCCACGGGCCGAGTGGCCCGGCGGCCACTGCCCCGCCGCGGCCTCTCGATGGGTCTTCTGAGTCTCACAGTTTTGCCTGAGTTTGAGAAACCCACAGGTCCCCGGGGAGGAGGGGTTGAAGGCTGGACTCCTGCGTCTAAAGGATGAGGCAGCTGGGGCTCGGACTCCGGGTCTGAAGGGGGAGTAGCCTGCAGAGCCGTGCATACGCGCCACCCTGTGGCGGCGGAATCCTCGGCCTGGATATGTAGGCGGCGGCCGCGGCGCCGGGCCAGGTGTGAAGGTGGAGCAGATGGCGAAGAGGAGGGAGTGGGAAGAGCGCCCGGCCTCTGCCAAATCCCGTGCCTTCGCCGGAACCATCACCATGGAGACCGAGGAAGGCGGAAAGGACCCGGCCCCACACTTTTCGGGACAGAAGAATGAGTTCTTCAGTTCCACGCAGGGTCCCCATGAAAACTACAAGGACCAGGGGCCGCTGGACCTCACCGTTTGCTTCGGAAGGGCCGCGTGCCCCAAGGGCCTCTGGGAGTTGCAGTTCTGAGACAGTGTCCTGAGACCGCGTTGCGCCCTCTGGTGGACACGGCGCTCATGTTCTCTCCTTCAGATCCCCATAGACCCTACCCGTTGTCGTCCCCACCTTTGTCCCTTGTCGGCTCTTGACTAGTCTAGTCCCTCTCTACCCACCCAGTTCAACTCCGTTCCATCCACAATGGCCTCCTTGCGGCTCTCCACTTCACCACTGAGTCTCCTCCATTTACTTATGCACCTAGGACTACGGAAAAAGAAGAGAGGGTTGGCAATCATCATTTCAACAAATGTTTGAGTTCCGACTCAGTGTCAGGCATGGTCACACCACAGGGAACATAGTTTAAAGAGTAACACTGGGTATTGGGGGCCCCCCAGGAGAGGATTCTAACTCAGCCAGGGTAAATCAGACAACACTTGAAGGTTGAAAAGCTTTCCAAGGAGCCCTGACCCATGTGGCTCGGTTGGTTGGGGGTCTTCCCACAGAAGGAAAAGGTTCCGGTTCAAGTCCTGGTCAGGGCACAGGCATGAGTTGTGGGTTCGAGCCACTGTTGGGGGCGTGTAAGAGGGGCAATCAACCAAGAAAAGCTCAAAAAGGGATGACTGGATGAGCTAGGTAAGGATGGCGGCGGGGAGAGTATCCACCTCAGGGGAAGCTGTACTTGCAGAGTCGGGAAGTGGGAAACAGTGACTGTGACATGAAGCACAATTCCAGCAACGGGTGGCTTGTTGGGACAAGGGGTAGGACAGGCTAGAGGTGATGGTGTGGGTCGGGTCCCCAAAGGGCTCTGGAAACATCCCCTGTGAGGCTGAGACAATGACAAAGTTCCTAGGTTTTAATGGAGAGGAGGTGCCAAGTAGAGGGAACGGCAGAAAGTAAGAAGGTGCAAAAAAGGGCGTGGTCAGGACACGCTTCAGTGTGACTGGACAGTGAGAGGGAGGGAGAGGCCAGGCTGGGCCTTGAAGGAGGCCAGGCCGCACAGAGGCTGGAGTGCCGGGCGGAGGAGCTCGGGCCTTCTCCTCGGGGCGGTGGGGAGTGAAGGAGGGGCCGCGAACAGGAGGCGGGCAGAGCCAGCTCTGGGACCACGTGGGAGACTGATGAGGGGAGCGACTGGAGGCCAGGAGCCCGGGGAGAGGACGCGGTCTGAGTCATGGCCGTGACCCCTATGGGACACCAAAGCTACAGTCCAATCCTTCCTCCCGCTCCCCACGTATTCCTAGCCAGACACAGAACAAAGGCAAAAGAATCTTTTTTTTAAAAGATTTTATTTATTTATTTTTAGAGAAATGGGAAGGGAGGGAGAAAAGAGAGGGACAAGAACATCCATGTGTGATAGGAACTAGCCTCTCATTCGCCCCCAACTGGGGACCTGGCCCGCAACCCAGGCATGTGCCCTGACTGGGAATCAAATTGGTGACCTTTCAGTTCGCAGGCCGGCGCTCAGCCCACTGAGCCACACCGGCCAGGGCCAAAAATCTTTCATTTCAATTTTAGAGAAGCTACTGCCTTCTCCTCCCACCTGGAAGCACAGGGAGACAGCGAGTCACGAAGGCGCGGCCAGGAGGGGCATGGCGACCATCAGCTGCTGAGGAGAGGAAAGGGAGAAGATTCAGGATGCAGGGGTCCAGCCCCGGGCCCCCTCACCATCAGACCCAGAAGTCCGGGCCCCCCAGTGTCGCCATTTCTCGACCATCATCCACCCCACCCAGGTACCCTTCTCTTCTGATGGAAGGCCGCCTTGCTCTGGTCAGAGTTGATCCGCAGGGGGATGTAGGCATCCAGATGGTACAGCTGCTGGGGGTCCCCCATCACCAGGTGGTTCTCCCCAATCTCCAGCGACAGCCCTAGAGCTCCATCCTGGGAATACAGAGGAGTCAGCCCACCCTTGCATCCTCGGCAACAGGAGACAGGATGGTAAGAACATGGACCGGGGAGGGAAGACCCAGGAGTGGGGACACCATGTTTAAAGGGTCTAACATTCCAGAGAAAAGCTGAGGTGTGGTAATTACACACTCCACAGGTGACCACTCTCAGTGCCCTGGGACAGCACCCGAAGCAGGCCCGAGGGCCCCAGGGCACAGGGGGCAGCACCTCAGAGGGCAGCGCTAAGCAGGCTCACGCAGCCGGCCACGAGCCCGCATCCCTCCCCCTGGAACACCCGACCTGACTCTCCAGCTGTGGCCGAGGGCGCACTCACCAGTTTGGGGAGGTCGATTTCCGCCAAGAGGAGGTCAGGGGCTTCCAGCCACAGGTTCAGGTGCGGCTTCTCAGGGCTGGGGAGGAACAAGAGTCGGAGCTGAGAAGAGCCTCCAGGCCTTTGCTGGGCTGTTCCCACTGCCTGGCATGTGGTTCCCTTGCTGCCTCCCAGCACCGCCGGGCCTTCCCAGTGTGAGTTCAGCTTCTCCCCTCTGGGGGTTCCCAGAGGCCCAGAACACTGCCCTGTATGGGGAAAGGGGGGCTGCAAGGGGCAGGAAAAGCCCACCCTTCCTTAGGCCTCAAAGAGTCGGCCGTGCACAGGTTCCCCAGCTCCTGGATCCGAGGCCGCTGCTGGGAGCGGATATTTTGCTGGGAGATGGAGCCCACAAAAGGCCGGTTCTTCAACAAGCGCCACTCTGCCGGGAGGGAGGACATAGCCAAAGGTCACCTGGGTCAGGGTTCCCTTTGCTGGGGGCTGGACCTTGCACAGCAAGAGCTTCCCGGGGAGAGGCGGAGGTGGCTAGGGGTCTGACCACACCCCCATGCTTGGCTTTAGGAAGCCCACCCACCTTAACCCCCCTTCCCAGGGTGCTGGCCAGTAAAACCTATTGGCTGGAGATGCTCCAGACCCCACCCCTCACCTGGAATCCCGGGCCCTGGTCCCGCCCCGCAACACTACTCTGCTCCTCAATTTACCTTGGGGAGCCTCCCCCTCTCCCTGCAATCTGCAGCCTAGAGGCTAAGAGAATAGCCCACACTAGCCCCACCTCTACCAAGGGCGGGCCCCAAATTGCTTCAGGCTCTGCCCCACCCCTCACCTGGATCCAGCTGCAGGCTGTATTTGTCCTCTAGGCCCTCCCTGGCGATAGTGATCAACAGCTCCCGCAGGAAATCGCTGTTCTAGGAAGGGGGGGAGCAGGAATGTGGAAGGGCTCCGGGGATAAAGGGAGTAGCCCCTGCACTGGCCTCACCCGCAGCCACGTCCCCAACCTGCATCCTCCGGTAGAAGTCGCTGTTGACAGCTACATCGTAGGCAGTACAGCCCTGGCCTTCTGCAGGGAGAGAAAGGGGGTGAGGCCCCCTGCTCTCGGGGGCAACCCCACCGCCCAAACACAGGCAAGGAAAAAGCAATAAAGGATAGCAGCCACAAGAATCAGAGAGGTCCCCAGAGATGATTAGGAAGTGAGGACTTAAGATACGCTCTTGTCAGTCTGGACTCATACCAGCCTCAAGTCTTCCCCTCTGGTCCTTCCCCACTATGTCCTGGAGCTGACCCTGCCTCTCCCCTGCTCATAGCCCTCCCTTGGTTCCCCAACACCCCCAGGCGAAGGTCTGAGGGTCTGAGTACCCCGTCCTGGCACGGGAGGCCCTGCGTGGTCTGCCCCTCCCACCTGGAGAGAAAGCAGCTCACTTGTCTAACAACCTCCCCCTGTAAATCGCTCCCATCTCTCTCAATTACTGACCAATCCAGTTCAATTATTCTTTCTGGCCCCCAGACCCCTCTGTCCCTTCTGCCCAGGACCCTCTTCTGTTTTGGCTTGATGAACTCCTACAGTTCCTTCTAGCCTTATATCCAACATCTCCTTCTCCAGGCAGTCTTTCCTGACTGCCCGGTGTAAGCAAAAGAGACCCCTCTAGGGAAGCAAGACTCGTACGGTACTGAAACAGCAAGTTCTGGGTTTGATAAGTCCCTACTCCCCAGGGCACGACCCATGCTTGGTCCCAGGAGGCTTCAGGGGACACACGTGCATTGGAAAAACAAGGACATAGAGATAGAAATGCAACAGAGACAGAGATGCAAAAAGCAGAGAGACAGAGACTGGAGGAGGCAAAGGAGAAAACAGAGATGCGAGGGAGAGCCGGCCCGGGGCTGGAGCCAGAAGACCAGCTAATGCAGCGCCTCCCCAGCCCTCCCGCGCCCTGGAGTGGGGCCAGGTGGGCAGAACCGGGACTGTGCCACGCAGCCGGTGCCAGAGGCCCAGCATGCTTGTGTCGTGCCACAGGGAAAGGATCAGATCCGGGTCCAGATTCCCAGGTCCTGCAGGAAGAGGATCCTAGAGAAGAAGGGTCCTAGGGGGCTAGAGGGCTGGGTCCTCTGAGGGCACTGACTTGCATCCAGCTCGGCGTGAGGCTCTCCCAGACTCATGGGGATGCGAAACCCAGCCTGGTCCTCCTCCAGCATTTGAAGGAGCTCATCCTCAGTCACATCGGCCGGAGGAGGGATGGAGGGAGAGTGACAGATGTTGATGAAAACCTTCCCTTGGGATGACTTGGTCTTTATGCAGAAGCCTAAAGGTGGGAATGGGCTGGTCTTGATTTCCATCCATCCCCTCCTCAGTATGCCCTTCTTTTGATCTGTCCCCTCTTTGAGTCTCGGTCCACCACTTTCTGGCTCCGTTCACCTCCCCAACACTGAGACCTCTCTCTTTCTACCTTGGAGTCTCTGTCCCCCTCCTAGTCACTCCTGTCCACCTCCTCCTCTCTTTGGATCTCCCTCTGGGTCTCTGTTCACTTCCCTACCAGGCTGGCCTCTACAACTCCATTATTGTGTCTCTTTCCTCCCTCCTCTGTGTCCCCAGCCCCCCAGTCTCTCTCTCTCTCTCTCTCCCGCCCCCCCCCCCGCCCCGGGACTCACTCTCACTCTCTCTGAGTTTCTGCCTTTCTCACCAGGTTGAGGTTGGATCTGTGTTGATTCTGGTCTGCTTGTCTGGGCTTGCTGGAGCTCCTTCGAGGCCTGTGTGACAGTAAACGACTTCCGGGTTCGGCGTCTGTGCTCTCAGACCCCTCGTTTGTTCCTCCAACGTTTATTGAGCCATGTTTATGGATATGAGCCATGCAGGGAAGAAGACATACTATGCCCCCTTTCTCCTCTGAGGAGTCCAAAGAACAACCCCAATCCCACTCCCATTTATTCCAGAGCTTAGTAAACCTGGAGTTAACCAGCTACAACTCCTGTAGGCCCTGTTGACTCCCTAGTGCATTCTGGGAACCATAATCCCATCTCTGAAAAAAAAAAAAATTCCCCAAATACCCAGGGACAGAGTAGTCCCAGTCAGTCCGCACCTGCAGCAGCAGCTCCTCGAAACGCGCCGTCTCAGCGCCCATTGCCTCTGCCTCGTTTAGCTCCGGCACCAGCAGTTTCGAGTCCACCATGGCCCTGGTGAAGAGACCTAGGCGTCCCTAGCAACCCCTACGTGGGGGGACTTTTGCTGGGATCTGACCACTGGGGCCTGCTTCCCAGGCCCTCTGAACAGACTCCCACACCCGCTATTCTGTACGAAAATCTGAGAATCTGGCCAGAAACAATACTACTACAATTCTACTCAGTTCGGATACCGTCGTCAAATCTGTTGGGAGTCAATATCTTTAGATGCTCCCTAGGTCCTATGTGCCAAATGCGTAAATGACAGCCACTCTTCCAGTCTCCGCGTAACCAGAAATTCGAGCAGGCACGTTTCCGACTACCCCAACGCTCATTCGTTAACCAGCAACCGCATCCCGTTACCGACCAATCACAGTCTAAGCATGAGGCCAAGCCTTTCACCTCAACCAATCATAATTAAATCCTGGGACTGATCACTTAGTGCCGCACTTCCGCTCTCGATTAAAGTCACACTTCCCCTCCTTCCCGACAACAGTATCAGGCCAGGCTACGGGGCAGTCAAGGCTTGCACTTTACGGAAAACCTTAATTTCAGTGTCCATCTTAAAGGACTCCCTTCTGATCTCTGAACTGTCACTTCTAGTAAATATATTTCAAAAACTGTTCGTTAGCAAGGTGGTGGAAAGACACACCAATACGGCCACTATTCTAAATCTGGAATTCTAACTGAATTCTAACAATTTGCAAGAGATTATTTTCTTCTCTCACGTCCCTAGCCACCCCCGACTATGAGGACTGCGCATGCTCCAAACTAAGTTCCCCAAAGTTGGCCCGTGGGCGGGGTTACTGGGTCCTAAGGTTGGGTTACGCTCTATCTTCGGTAGCCCGCCCTTTGCGCTGGAGCGGGCGGTCCCGCCCTTTGGACCTCAAGGTTTCCTTGGGCAGAGCGCCCGGCAGTCGGTGGAAGGTGATCTGGACGGGTGATGGCTGCCACGCGCGCAGAGACCCGCGCCCGAGAGATCTTCACCACGCTGGAGTACGGACCCGCGCCGGAGAGCCACGCATGCGTGCTGGTGAGGGCCTACCTAGCGGGCGCTGCCTCCTCCCCCTCCCTTGTACGTCGGCCCCTCTTGGGGCGCGGACTCCCGTGATCCACCGCGGCAGCCCAGCGACTCCGCCCCCATCGACTCCCACGATTTCCGCCGCCCTATGGAACCAACTCCCGGAGGGCGTCCTTTTGAGTCTGAGATTGCTGCCTCTTAACCTTTTAGTCTGTTCTGACCTGTAGTAGTTTTCGTGCTCCACGGCCCGAATTCACGGCGGTGTTTCCCCGATTCCTCAGACATCCCTCCCGCGCGGGGTTCCAGTGGTTCTTAAGAGCTGTTTCAGAACCCCACGTGGTTCCCCGGGACTCAGTTCCTGTGGGGCTCCCGTGGTCTTCCAACGAGCCTCCGAACCCCTTTAGACTTACCACGATTTCCTCAGAACATCCTGTGCCTCCCATGGTCCTCCAGGGCACCCCCCAGAATTCTTAACGGGGCTCTTTAATCTCCTGGAACCTCCGTGGAGACCCCGTGATTTCTTAGGGCCCCTTCAGTCCTTATGGGACTTTTGATTTCGGGAATTCTCAGAACCCCCGAATACATCAGAACTTACACAGCCCCTAAGAATACCCTCTTGAGGACCCCCCCCCCCACCGTGGTCCCTCACTACGTCTCAGGATGTCCCGTGGGGCCCCCGTGAGTCCTCAGCGCCTCAAGACCCTGATGATGCTCGGTGTTCAGAGATTCCCTAAGACTCCTGTGATCCCTCAGGGTCTGCCACAACGTTTTGGGGGATGAGTAAGGTGCCTCGAATTTTCTGTAATTACCCAGATCCCCCAGAATTCCCGCATGAGGCTATGGTCATTTCGCAGGGTCCTCTAGCACTCAAGCGTGAGAAGTTTGGGCTTTTCTTGTGGGAGAGAGGAGGTGGCTAGAATAATAGTCCAAGTGGAAGAAGAGCCCAGAGCCTGCGTGGGCTGAAGGGGGTGGAAAGCAGGGGATGGGGTAGCGACGCAGGAGAAACAGGGTTTGGGGAATAGAGAGGACAAGGACAATTCTTGGGGTCTGGCCCTGTGGCTGGGTGGCTGTTCCCCCTCCCCCTCTCCATGGTGAACCCTGGAGGAGCAGGCTTTGGGGAAAAGATGCTGAGCTGAGTTATCACATACTGAGCGTGTGAGGGACCTGGGTACAGGCGTGAGCCATGCGCAGCAGTCAAATACTACTTTGAACCTCAGGTTTGGAGACAGGGAGGCACCAATGTAGAAAGGTAAGTGAACCTTGGGAGTGACAAGATTATCTAGAGAAATAGTGAGATTCAGATAAAAGGAACTGGGACGGTGTATGGAGAATTCCCACACCTGGAGATTAGAAGTGGAATAATAATAATAATGTGATAATGGCTTGTATTTATTGGCTGCTTTTTTTTAAAAAAAAAAGCTTTTACTGATATTTAGAGATGGGAAGAGAGGGAAACATCATTGTGTGGTTGCTTCTGGCGCGCCCCCTACTGGAGACCTGGTCGACAATCCAGGCATGTGCCCTGACTGGGAATCAAACTAGCGGCTTCGCAGGCCCTTGCTCAATCCACTGAGCCACACCAGCCGGGGCTATTGGCTGCTTTCTAGATGCCATGGTCTGTGCTCATCATAATTGCACTGAGTCCCCCCCAGAACCACTGTGAAAGGGGATTATTGTCATCATTTTACTGAGAGCACACAGAGGCTTGGAGAGGTAATTTGCCCATGGTCAACAGCTTAAAAGAGGAAGCTGAGATTTGAACCTAAGCCCTCAGATTCCAGAACTTGTAGTACCCCCACCTCTCCCCAAGCAAAGGTCTCAAACTTACAGTCTGTTGCCCAGACTCAGCCAATAAACATGTTTTCTTTGGCCTAAACTTTATTTGTAAAAATGTGAATTAATGGCAAACTAATTCCATGTAAACATCTGGGATTCCAGCTTCTTTTGAAAATTATATCCCAGAATTTGGCAGCCTTTGGCCCACATTCCCTGACAAAAATCATCTGGATCCATTAGTCGCGGTCTCATTGAACTGGCTGTGGGTTCCTAGTCTCCACCTGGCCCTCCTCTTCCCACAGTAACATGGGCTGCCAGGACCCTGAGAATATTCTTTTAGGGTTTTGTTTTTCTTCGGGGGAAAATTTTGCAACATCCACCAAATACTTCATATTTTGAGCTTCCACATACCCGTCACTCAGCTTCAGCATCATCAGCATTTGTTCCAAGGTTGTATCCCTTTGTGTTCTCTTTTTTTCTGGAGTGATTTAAATCCCAGGTGTCATGTTATTTTCCCATACATATTTGATTCCTTATTTATTATTTTTTAAATATTTTATTTACTTATTTTTAGAGAGAGAGGAAGGGAGGGGGAGAGGGAGAGAAACATCCATGGGTGGTTGCCTCTTGCGCGCCCCCCACCAGGGACCTGGCCTGCAACCCAGGCATGTGGCCTGACTGGGAATCGAACTGGCAACCCTCCTCTGGTTTGCAGGCCAGCACTCCATCCACTGAGCCACGTCAGCCAGGGCTGATTCGTCATTTCTAACACATGAGGCCTCATTATGTAACAGAACCACCATGCTGTTTTCACACCATTACCAATCATTCTTTAATATCAATTAATGCTCAGGTTCAGATTGTTTCAAAACTGTCTCTTGTCCCCGGTGGGGTGGGCTTTGAATTAGGAACTTGTGGCTGACCATCTGACTTTAAAGTGAAATGAAGAGAAGGGCCGGTGGGCAGGGGAAGGGAAAACTCAGGAGACTTCGGCAGCGGGGTTGCTAGGAGAAGAGTTTGAAGAAGGAAACAGTGGGAAGTGTGGCTTGGAGTTAGTAAGGATTTGAGGAAGACAGGACCAAAGGCAGCGAGAAACCTGAAGCCGATGTGGAGGGAGGAATGCAATAAAATTAATAGCGAGTCTTAAGTAGTGCTCCTCTGACTTTATAATGGGGGATTCATTCAATCCTCATCACAGCTCTGTGAAGCAGCGGGGGACTGTCATCCCCATCTTCCAGATGGCTTGGCAGAGGCCAGGGTATTTTAAGATTGTTTAGGTTGCACAATAAGTCCTAGAGCCAGGATTCAAACCCGGACCACGTGGCCCCTTGGTCCAGGGTTCCCGCACTAGGCTGCCCCTCTGCAAATTCCATGTGCTACACCTCAGGTTAGATCTGTGACCACCTAATAAACTGCACCTGGCAGGGCAGCATCCAGCCTGTCCACACCCACGCCCCACGTGATGACAGCGGAGAAGGCGGGAACGCCATCCCGCAGGTGGGTGCCGGCGCCGCTGGTCTCAGAAGCCACAGGGTCTCACGGGCGTTGCTTCCAGGGCCCTGGCAAGGGTCACTGGTGCACAAACAAAAACTCGTTCGTGAGCATTTCTACCAGCACAATTCCCAGCAATCAAAAAGCGGAAACAACCCACATCAACGGAGGAATGGATAAACAAAATGTGGTCTATCCAGATAACGAATACCATACAACCGTAAAAAGACATGTTGATACAGGCTACGACATGGATGAACGCCCAAAACACCATGCCAAGTGAAAGGAGCCAGCCACAAAAAGCCGCATGTTGTAGGATTCCATTCATGTGAAACGCTAAGAATAGGCAAATCCAGAGGCAGAAAGCAGATTAGTAGTTCCCCGGGGGTTGGGGGCAATGGGGGAGGGAGAATGACCACCTAACAGCTACAGAGTTATCTTCTGGGGAGATGAAACTTTGGGAAATTAGTTAAGAGTTTTAGTTGCACGACATTGTGCATGTACTAACTGCCACTGCATTGTATACTTTAAAGTGGTTACAATGGTGAATTTGTTACATGTCTCTTATGTTTACCTGTATTTCCACCTACAGAGGAAAAGAAGTAGCTGATGGGGCAAAGGCGGGTGGGTGTTCCCCTCCCAGAGGACACCGGGTGGGGATTGAGCTCCCCCAGCGGCCTCCCAGACCCCTTTCCAAACTCTCTGCACCCTCCCCCTCACCCATCCAGGCCTGGCTGGACACCCAGGACCGGTGCTTGGGTCACTACGTAAATGGAAAGTGGCTAAAGCCAGAACACAGGAATTCAGTGCCCTGCCAGGATCCTGTCACAGGTATGAAGTGTCCCCCAGTCACTAGGGGAGGGAGAGGGGCCCGTGCCCCTAGCCATCCCCTCCAAACACGCCCCTTTCTCTTTGCTCAAGACTGGTCAGGGGAGGAGGCTGAGAGCTCTGGTTCCTCCTGATAATAATTACCCTGATACGGTCCCAAGTCCCTGAGGACACTCTTTGGAGTCACCATCTTCTAAAGTCCCTTCCTCTCGCAGTGACCGATAGGTTTATCCCCATTTGTCAGGTGATAAAACTGAGACCCTCAGCCAGGCTGGGGTCCAGCTTTACCACCTGCTCCCAGTCTCCGGAAACCTCAGCCCCGAGCTGTTCTGGCACAGCCTCCCGCCCTTCAATCTGGGCCCCGCATTCATCTCCCCAGGAGAGTACTTGGCCAGCTGCCTCCAGGCCCAGTCTGAGGATGTGGCGGCGGCCGCAGAGGCGGCCAAGGCTGCGTTGGAGAACTGGAGCGGACTCCCTGGAGCCTCCCGGGCCCAGCACCTGACCAGGTGAGGCAGCTGGGGTGTGGGCCCCGGGAAGTGGGGAAGAACTTGAGAAAAAAAGACTAGTTTCCAACATCACACTGAATTCGTTGGCCACAGAGAGTATGTTCATATTCCCAGCATGCCTTGGGGCCTTTAGCGGCTAAAACATCTGTGTCTCCCTATTCATTGGGATTGGTAATAACAAAGCCTCAGTTTCCCAGAATATCCTTCAGGCCCATTGGGGCTCCATTTCTCAGCAGCTCATTGGGGCTGGTGGAGCCTCCGAACCCACTGTCCTGCTGGATATTGTGAACACTCCCGGGGCAGCTAGAGACAAAAATTCCATTTCTCAAAATGTAATTGACATAGAGTTAAGCCCCAGTACCTTGGGGGTGGGGGGGGAT